GCCGAAGGAAACTCGTAAGTAGTGAGACTCCAACCTGTGGCGGGACCGATTCTGCAAGCGGAAGCGCGAGATTCCTGATTACATTCTCTCTCTCTCTCTCTCTCTCTCTCTCTCTCTCTCTCTCTCTCTCTCTCTCTCTCTGCTCTACTCTTCTTCTTCTCTCTCAATCTCTCTCTCTCTCTCTCTCTCTCTCTCTCTCTCTCTCTTTCCTCTCTTCTCTTTTCGCCTCTTCTTCCTTTCTCTGTCGCCATTGGTTCTGTTCTCCTTCGACTTCTTTCTTTCCTTGTGTTCTCTCTATTCTCGTGTAGTATGTCGGCAAAGGAGAAGCTGCAAGCTGCTCGAGACGAAGAGGCTGAGGTCGCTCGTTTTGACGACGGAAAATTATTTGAAATTTCCCCCAGATTACCTGCAGATTTGGAAAACTGTGTTATCGACTAATTTGTCCTTATATTTGACCTAATTAGCGAAAATAAAGATCACGCAGCTGGCGAGTTGCTCGTTGATCGTTTGTCGACATACGGTCGACCAGTGCGTTTGATATTCAGATATCCGAGTATCACCAGAATGCTGTGTTGAAGAGATTGTTGGATGCTCGAGCACCTGAATTTAGAGATCAGTTGGTTCATACGTCTTTTTGGGTCGAGTTTCATAAACAGTGCCGAATACATATTTGATCGAGCTCCAGTAAATTGTAGTATATTTCATACATTTATTGCAGAAGATACATTTATAAAAAATAATGAAGTTTTGTATGCAACTCGACGCAATAATAGAGCACAACACGCGGACTTGTTATCTCTTCGTCCCTTCAGACCTTCAGTGAGCTTACTCTTCGTCAGTCGCGGTAAACGTTAACCGCAAAATTGGCCTGTTCGAACGAACGTCTTTGCGCGTTAATCATTCCAGTTACAGGCGAAGAGTAATTCCGCTGAGAGGTCGCCTCCCGTCTTATCTCCTCTCTGCGCGCGCCAAAAGGTCCATCATAGAAAATCGTAAATTTTGCAGATCAATCTTCGGATCTGCGAGTCGATGTGTCTCTTTGATATGAACTATGCAATTATATTGTCGTGGGCACACACACGCTTCTTTTCTCATTCCCTCTTCGATCTTCCGTCATCTACATTTGTTTGAATTAATCACAATTTTGTTTCGACCACACTTCTTTATTTATTCGTAGAACAAACCAGGCATATCTGTAGATACATCAAGACGTTTGCACATTAGGAAAATTATCGTTATTTTAACGCGAACGAAACGCGTCCTTACGTTTATTTTGTTGCTGCCCTCACCTTTTTCCATTTCTGATTCTTTTCGACGTAATGACGACAATGACGATGGTGTCCACAATTGAAATTCTCGGGGACGCGCGATGTAACATTTTTTTCTTTCTCTGCTCGCATCAGCAAAGTACCTTTGTCACCTTGTCGGTTTTCTAATGCGACGAAGAAACATGTGTATGAAAGCGTATAGTCTTCGACGAAGTGGATGGGATTTATATTCTGCTATCTTATTCTCTGTCTCCTCTTTTACTTCTCCCCGGCATTTCTCTCGTCCTTGCTCCAGAAAACGAAAGCAGCCCCCTTAAAAGATATATATTGTCATCCATTTATCGGTGTTGTTGTCGTCTTGGCTTAGTTGCTTGATTGTGGCAAATGATTGTGTCGCATTACTTCGGAGCACCGTTGCACATACAACACGCACTTTTGTATCCACTATATGTCAGTGTGGTCGTTATTGTCGCCGAGCCATATTCTTTATCCACATAGTGAGAGGGACGCTAATACACTGTTAATATATACACATTATATATATATATATATATATATGTATGTATATATATATATGTATATATATGTATATATATATATACGTGTGTGTGTGTATGTATATATATATGTATGTATGTATATTTATATACAGTCCTTGATTGCCTAAGAATGCGCCCGGAGGGTCATTTTTCACTAATATTTTTCACACATTTCCGTATCTGATTTGTTGCTTTACATACACACATACGCACACATACATATATACATACGTACATAAATATGTATATACACACATATGTATAAGCATTCTCAAGATGGACATTCCCCCTGGAAAGCAGTCTCCCACTATCTCGCCTGGACCTCATTTTCATCGAGTATTTCCCGCGGTAGACTAGGTAATTGTAAAGCGTTATTGCTCCTGGAACGCGCGCCGGATCGAGAAAACGATCGAACGTCGAAAGTACACTGATACTTGCGTAGGTATTCGTGTGACCGAACGCTCGTGGCAGCAGAGTGCGTGCGAGCGAGCGAACAGTTTTGTCGATTCGGCACGAGATGTTTGATACGGGTGACAGTAAGAAACCTCGATGATCCATCCGCTTCGTCCCTTAGCAGCGGTGTTCACTTAAACGGCTGCATAAGAGGCCGAGAATCGCCACGGAGAGAACGCTACGGCGATCCGGATGTGCGAGTTGCAATTAACACGACTTTGCTCAATCGACGCTCGAGATACGCCGTCGAGATGCGAATTATGAGTAATGGTGTGTCTCGTCAAGTCGTAGAGCGATACACCTGTATATATGTATGCATATATATCCCGAGTGACCGATAATGCAATTAAGTGTGTGAAACCACCATCACCACCACTACCACCACCACCACCACCACCACCACCACCACCACCACCATCAGCCCCTCCGATCGAAAAAGACCCACACAGTCTGTCGTACACGTCTCACTGCCGTGTACTACCGAGAGAAGTAGTATACGCTGTAATCTCTAAGTATAGTAAATAGTACTAATGACAGTTTCTCCGATATATAGTTACGTCACACACTCGATGGGTGTCTCTCTCTCTAGCAGAGCCTTTTCGCAAAAAGTATCCGTTTAACGTGTATAATAATTAAGCGCGAGTCCTCCCAACGGCGCGTAGCGTAGCGACGGCGAGTGAGCGTAAGTTGAAATGTCATTTTTTCTCCGTTAACTTTCTTTTCTAATATCCCTAAGATCTTAGCGAAGCATGCCGAAAGGAAAAGTAGATAGATGTAGTTTGCAGCAATGACGATGAGACGGTACTCAGTCCTGAGACTTGGAGTCGCGTTCATCGCACTCGATGAAGAGAGGGAGGAAGAAAGAGAGAGAGAGAGAGAGAGGCGCTCCCCACGTCTCGTTGTTTTATTTCGCTTTATTCCGCCGACTTCGCTCCCGTCGAGATGGACTGATTACCGTCATCTGTTTTTAATCTCTTCTAAATGGTACCTGCGTTTAGATGAAAAGTGCATGCGTTCAAACAGTCTCTCTGGGGTATGTTTTTGAACTTACTTATATATATATATAATCTTCTCCGTGTATATAACGTGTGTTTATATATTATACTTTACAATGTATAAATTTATATGTCACTTTACACGATATATATATATATATAAATATAAATTTATATATTATATTTTATAATATATACATATTTATACTCTATCGTACACTGAAACACTACACTTTCAGCGTAAGTTCTTCTTATCTCAAACTGAATGAGGTGTGTTCTCTCTCTTTTACAACTTTCGTCGAAGGCTTGCGGGAATTGTCCCTCGCTCCTGCGGAATATAATATCTTTCTTTTATGATTTCTGTCCCCTCGCACATTATTTTTTTCTCTTTCTCTCTTTCTGTCTCATCGCACCCAATTCTCTCGCGCGACGATCTGATTTTCGGCTTGCAGAGTCCTCGTGCTTTGTTTTCTCTCAGTCTTTGTTACAAATTTCGGGGGACGTTCGAGACGATCAAGATCGTTTCGCGTTCGCGCGATCCCAGATAAGCTTGTGCGAATAATAAACGAGGAGAAAAAAGAGAAGGGGAAAAAATCGGAAAGGAGAAATGTTCAGTAAGCTCTCAGCAATTTTGATTTTCGTTGCTCGCACGACGAGCGCCGTATATCATATATGCCAGACAGATGTTCACCCTTCTCCCCACGACGTTTTCTCTGATTCTCCGACGAAGTTTCTTTCTCCCATCGTGTATCATCCCTCATACTTTCCGTAAATAGCATCGAGCGACGAGTCGCGGTTTGCCTGCTAAATACGTGATTTTGAAAACTGCAGTTGGTCTTCGAATCTGCGAATGGCAGGTGAAACCGGGCAGTTGAAGGACTTCATCGAAGATCTCGGACCGGGCCAAGTGGTCGGGAGGCAAGCTCTCGGCGGCCGTACCCTAGGCGAGATCCAATTGTCATTGAACCAGAAGAAGGGTTACCTAGAGATCGAGGTCATACGTGCCAAAGACTTGAAAGCGAAACAAGGAAGTAAACTGATCCCAGGTAGGTGGCTTTCGCACTTAGTCCGCTCCGAGACGGCACATTTTGCACGGGAGATCGTCTTCGGAGAGCACACACAAACGAGCGAGAGAGACTCAAGCGTTGAACTCTGTTTCCTTTCGCAGCTTCTTACGTGAAGCTCTACGTGGTGAACGGTAAACGATGCATAGCGAAAGCGAAAACCGTGCTGGCCAGGAAAACGCTGGACCCCTTCTATCAACAATTGTTGGCTTTCAAAGAGAACTGTCGGGGTTGTATATTGCAGGTGCGCCACGCGAAGAGATACGAGTCGATTCTCTTGACGGCTTTTTTTCCCCCTTTTTCTTTCTCTCTTGACGAGATCGAGCGAACGGTCGCTCGTTACAGCGCGCCCTCGACCGTGACCGTGCTTTTCATGTAATCGCGAGACGATTGACGTGTGTTTTCAGGTGACGGTGTGGGGTGACTACGGCCGGTTTGAAGGGAGAAAAGTGTTCATGGGTATTGCACAGATCGTATTGGATGAGCTGAACCTCAATGACCCGGTGATCGGCTGGTACAAGCTGTTCAGCACCACATCCCTGGTCAGTGGACCTCCACCCCTTGCTTTGTCCCGATCTTCGGCCATGTCTCTCGATTCTTTTAAGATCTAAGAATGACTGTCCCGACGACATCACCGAATTACATTCCTTTTATACGTGATGAGAGTGGGGGATGATACCTTTGAGTTTTACTCGCAGCAGCGGAGCGAAGTAGAGTAAACGCACGGCCGAGTTGCTCTCGGGTTCTTGATCTCGCGGTTACTCACTCTCTACCTAGTCTCGCTTCTATCATTAATAAAATAAGATATCGAAAATATACACGTGTCTCGATGTATAAGGTAGCGTCACACTTACCGACCGAGCTCCAGATTAGAGATCGGAAGATCGTGAGAAATTGTGGGATACACGAGAAAAGAGAGGGAAAAGACAGGTCGTTTTTATTATCTTAAGTGACACCACACGGCATATCGCTCGATGATATTACACGTATAGAGTATGTCGAATGTAACACATAAAATATATTAGAGGACAAATTGTCGACGGATTGATCTCTAACCGCTGTACTCGCCGTATCGAAATTAAGGAAAGCATCGTAATCGAGATTCCCCGTAACTGCACCGCAATGTAATCTTCTGCGCGCGTATCTCCCCCGGTTCGGCCGCCGGCGTTTTCGAGCCTGAGGCTGCTTGTCGAGATGTAAAAACGCGCTTATACCGGTTCTGAATCGCCCTGACAGAACGTCGCGGTCTCGCGAATTTTGTGCTTCCGTCGGCGGGGGGAGGAAATAAATGACGAGTCGATCGCGCGATCGAATTGTCGCGGAACTGGCGCGCGGTCGAAGCGCGAGGAACGCTCCCTTTCGCGCAAGGAGAAACCGAGCTGCGGCAATGCGAGCGGAGCGAAAGAACGTACGAAAGGATATGTCTTTCTAGAAACACCAGTAGTACATCACATATCATGTACGGCATATCAGACGAGCCACTAGTCTGTATGTAGACTAGATGTAGACGTAGCAGCCATGTTCCCGGAGCGCCAGATAGTTTTAGGTATGCACTGAGATCAAGGCATTTCGTAGATAGTTGGACAACGATTTAACGTGGGTACACCAAAGAAAAGACGACGACAAGAAGGAGAGCAAAGAAAAGAGGAAGTGATCGTTACGATCGCGACACACCATTGCGGCGTGTCTGTCTGTTCGCGATTGAACCGTCTGAGTATTCATACGGTGATATTCCAGAATTAATATCTTGGAATTAATAAATGACGGATTCGAGCACGACGACGACGACGACGACGACGACGACGACGATGACAGTGACTTCAATGACCGAACGTGCAACAACGCAGCCGTCTCGACATTTGTTGCGCGTCAAGACGGCCCGGCGGAGCTTTTTCTCGAGTACCCATGTGAAATCTTGGTGCATTCGTTGTTGCCAGTATCTCTCTTTTCCATCTCCACACGTATTCTGTATATTCAAGTATATCTCTTCCTGCTCTACTCTCTTTGAAAGTGTCTCTGTCCTACGCGAACGCGGCTGCGAAGTGGCGATGCGCATTCGATAATGAATGCGCTATGAAACAACGCAAAGCTACGTTATCATGTGCGCTCGAAGCTTCGCCGTCCCGGCTACATTTGTCTGCATATTTCGACTGTACTTACGGCCTTTCCGAACTTTGTAGAAGCGACATGCCTCCGTCTGCGACAACTGACACGTCGTAGAGAACGATTTTCGATTTTCCATTGGTATCTCTGAATTTTTTCTACCTTTGCACTCTGTAATATCTCGATATCTTTCCTTGCCCGTAAGAACGACTGTCATATTGACTTCCTGGTACTGCTTGATACACACACACACACACATACACATTGCCTTATTAATTCTGAAACGTTGCACAACATATCTTATTCTTTCATTGATTCGCTCTTTTTCTTCTTCATTTTTCCTTTTTTTCTAAATCTATATAGAGAATCGTGGCATTTTTCAGTATGTTAGAATTTGTCGATAGCAAAAAAAGATTTAGAGAAATTAAGTAAAGGTAAGTCTGTGCCGTATATTCGAAATCCTATGTATCCTCTTGTAAATTTTTTTTCGAGATGTTTTTGAGACGCCAGTCGGTTTGGAATTTTGAATGATGTCACGTGGAAGCTCTCACGTCTAACAGCAATGATGAGAAGGAACGAGATAAAATCACAGACTCTTGCACAGACTCTTCATCGTTCAATACTCCACGACAGATATAACGCCTCGCATAACGCATCTCGCACACTTGCAAGCCAGTAACGCACATGTTTGTTTTATTTGCAGTGAAAACAAACCAAATCAAGCAAGTACGGGGTAGATGGAACTCGAATGTGGTGTATTAGGTAACCAAAGATGTGAGACGCTGTCGATGACACTCGGTTTAACGGTGAACTTAAATGATTTAAGTGAGTAAGAAAAATTCACGAGCGCAAGTGAGAATGACGGGGTGACGCGGACGCTCCGGGCCAGACTACGATTTAATTGTGTGGAAGAAATTAAAAGGAAAAACAAAAAGAAAAAAAATATGTTGAACAGAGCGTGTCTGTGTGTATACATACATATATATACATATATATACATATATACATACATACATACATACATACATATATACATACGTACATACATATATACGTACATACATACATACATACACACATACACGCGCGTGTGTGTATATATATATATACACACACACATATACATATATACATATAAATATATTACATATATTTATGGAAGCCGTTTCCAAACTTTGTATATAATTTAGGATCGTCAAGAATACTAAGTGCCGATCTCCGATACGACTCGGCCAAAGGACATTTATTGTTGTCAAATTTCTAGTCGAAAATGTCATTGTGAGAGAGAGAGAGAGAGAGAGAGAAAGAGAGAGAGAGAGAGAGAGAGAGAGAGAGAGAGAGAGAGAGAGAGTGTGTGTGTGTGTGTGTATGTGTGTGTGTGAGAGAGAAAAGCGTATATTATTTAATGTACATAACATAATAACTATATATATACATATATGAATTTACGATAAAAAAAAGCAAAGTGCGCGCTGGTTTGAATGGGTGAACACGTTTGCATTATATTCTCGTTGATACATTGCAGTTCCCACGGCATAATCATCGTCTTGATTTCTCCGCATTTTTCGTCGATCATATGAACTCGGTTCGATTTCGTTTCACCGCTGTCTTCGAACTAGCGTCGGGACGACTAGACATCGCGCGACGACGTAATTTGATTGAACACGAATTATTGCGTATTCGTTTTCCTTCTTTCGCGTTTTTTTTCTCCGCCGACACTCACCCATCGATCATCGTATCGTCACCGCGTTACTTGGCTTCTCCGAGCTTCGTTTAGTGACTTATCCGATAAAGGGAAAAAAGACAAGGAAGACAATGGCAAGCCATTACGATGTAGAGAACGCGGAGTAGACGCGCGATATGTATCATACTTCTCAAGTACGAAGCAGACTGATAAATCGATTCCTACGCATCTAGTTTCTTCGGTCGCTTTCGTTGAATTAGCGATCCACCGGAACCGGAACGAACGATCACGGTCGCGTTATCGCAATTGCCCGGACAATTGCGAGATTAGCTTCGTTCGATAAAAAGTTCGTTTGAGGATTTCAATCCGCGAAAAGTACGAAAAAACACCGGCAACGTGACTCGCCGGTTTTCGAGACAAATTCGAGATAAGGGAAAGGGATGGGAGGAGCAAAAGCGGTGGGAGGGCAGGGAAGAGAATAAAAGAAGAGAGAAAACAAACCGCCCACAATGTAATTCGCGTGAACGGGACGCGGTCGCGGCAAAAAAATTCTGTTTCGTACTGATTTTGTACAAAGGAAAAAAAAGGAGAAACACAGTAAATGCCATTAAACGTTTAAGGGGCTTTGTAAATCTCTGTAAGAAGCACGTAAATGCTTGCGATCGATTTTATATCTTAACCCTTTCGCTACGGCGGTTCGCTCCGCTGTAGCACCGCCACTGAACCGGACACCGCGATAAAAGTGTACGCATTGCTGCAATGTTGTGAGCAGTTTTTGGCGTTTGGGTTTACGTCTTACGCCTGAACAATGCCACCTTGACATGCTTTTGGAAGAAAAAGGACTTTTCTTTAAAACAATAACATAAACTAGTTCGAATGAATGCCGCCGGCTATAGCCGGCGCTCGTCTCTGCGAGTCACATCATGCATGTCGGTTATAGCCGGCGTTCGTCTTCGCGGGTTGCTTCATGGATGCCGGCTATAGCCGGCGTTAGGAGCGAAAGGGTTCATTATCTATGCTATGTGTTCGATCTCTTTCTTCGTGCGTACCTCGAACACTCGCGAAGATGCATTCTCAGCGAGTATGCACATGCACGTGACACATTCGCTGTAAATTAGTAATTAATTACATTTGTGCCCTGCGCGTGCGAGAGAGAGAGAGAGAGAGAGAAAGGAATGAAAGAAAGAGAGAAAATGAGGGAGAGAGAGGGAGAAAAAAGAGAACATTATTTTTCGTGAGGCGCAAGATTTGGCGTGTAAACTTCGTGTAAAAGATAAATGTTCCAATTGGGTCGTGGCACGTGGGATAAAGAGCTCTGCGAGGAAATATGAAAGAGAGAAAGAGAGAGGGAGAGTGTGTGCATTCGATATTTTTCAGGCACTTTGCGCAATTTTATATAACAATTTGGGTGCGCTGTTTGCGATTGAATTACGGACACGAGATCGATGCAATCACCGCGCAAATGCTTGTTTTTCTTTCTCTTTTTTTTCTTTCTTCTCAACGAGTCCTGCGCTAATCCTTTGCTAAAGTGAGCTGCCTATGTGATGTCATTGTTGTCGAAAGGTACTCCTTGGATATTAAAATTGCGATAAAATTGCGGCAATTGGAAGACGTCGCGAGAGCGCTTCGAGCAGCTACATCGCGTCTTATATTTTTGTCTCGGATTCCGCTGTGAAATTTGTACGCCGCAGACACAGACGGCAGGACGCAAAGGACACAGGGAGTCGGGAGAGTAACTTCTTGGCGCGTTGCGCTTCTCGAGTGTCGATCGACGAGATCGTGAAATTCTCGGCGACGGCGGCACGGTGGTCAGCGTCCTCTCATCACGATTCTCACTGTATAATTGACCAAGCGTATGACATGTCTTGCTTTGTAATTTGAGGAAAAAGCGAAAAAAAAAAGAAAACAGACGATTATCTCTCATTCGCAACTCGCGTCTCCGCTCTCTGATATTATACGACTATTTCTATAAATACGACTATTTCTAAGCGCGGAGTTTGATACGCGTGCTGAGATTATATATCGAAATGCCATCGAAAGAAACACACGCATTCCGTCGTTAAGTGAAATTATGACGTAAGACTTAGCTTAGAGAATCCGAAGGTGAGGTGTAATAACGAACGCGGTGGTATCGTTAATTTACAGACGAGTCGTGTAGAGACGTCACCAAAACGACACCCGATTGTTCACGATGAATCTTAGGTGATATGCAACTTTTCTCATAATCGGGAGTACAAGCTTTAGGGGAAGAGAGGAAAGAAAAAAAGAAAAGGAGGGAATTGTGTATAGGAACGGTGGTATCTTATCATATCTATAAACGTGCTTAACTTAGAAACGTATACAGCAAAGAGAAAGAGAAGCTTTTTTACTCGTGAGAAAACAAAGACAAAATGTAGAGTTCTATCTGATGACAGAGAAAAAGAAAGAGCGCGCACGAGAGAGAAAGAAAGAAAGAAAGAGAGAGAGAGAGAGAGAGAGAGAGAGAGAGAGAGAGATGTGTGTAAAGTATTGTGAAAAAAAAAATATTACTCTATAAGCTGATTTCTAAGTACATATTTTGCAAGTGCACGGACTTACCAAGATTGTGGGGACAATGATGACGTAACATACACAAGTATAATTCTGCGTGTGCGTGTGTGTGTATGTGTGTGCGTGCGTGCGTGCGTGCGTGCGTGCGTGCGTGCGTGCGTGCGTGCGTGTGTGTAATAGTTAATTGATAAAATATACAAGACTACTACGTAACTCTTTCAGTTTGTGATGCGCTGTTTCACACGGACGGCGGTAGCGGTGGTATAAAAGGAAATCCTTCGCGAAATTATGATAATTCGCGGCCCTAGTCTCTTCGCGAGTCTGGTCTTCTCGCGCGCGCGCGCGCGTGCGTCTCTCCGACGATCGAGATTCCCTGGCGGAATTTATGCGCGAACGCGCGCGTTAACCACGATTGATCGCATGAGATCGCCGAGGAGGAGGGCGGAAACGTAGAAATTTGTACAACGAAACCATATTCGCGATCGCGACAAAATTGATTTGTAATCGAGAACAACGCGCGCCGGAATGGAGAACACTTGACATTATCGATTACCGCGATCTCCCGCGAGACCGGGACACGAATCGCGTCCCGAGGGATTTACCGGGAGTGATGCGCTGGAGCGGCGGTCATTAGGCAGCAGGCTATTGTCCGATGAGACAAATCGTCGTCGCCCGACGCGCGCCGATTGAATCTACAGCAGATCCGTCGTGAGAAGCAGAAGCGCGAAGAGCACGCTCGGTCGCACTTCTATTCTTTCCATGCCCATTTGTATATAGGCATGCTCAATTCTAGAATCGAACAAATGCGCATCGTGAATCACATAATACATAATATTAAACTACAAAACGAACAAATTATTATCCGACTTTGTACCTATATATTATTAATTAACACAATGAAAGAAAGAGATCGGGGTGAGACCCCGGCGACTATTATTATCGATTCGAAATAGTAGAAGCTAATGAGGAGACTGGGGGCGTACAATTTAACAAAAATGAAGAATCCATAGAAAATAAAACAGTCTAGGGAGAAAGAATGAAGGAACGAGAGAGAGAGAGAGAGAAGGAGAGAGGGTAGGAAAAAAAGATTAACCAGAAAAAATGCCTGAGAGCCAAGGGGTACACTTTTGTCAAAAATTTAGGAAGACAATTTAGGTTTACAATTACGACAGGGTGTGTGTGCGTGTGTGCGTGTACTGCGTGGGCGAATGTTTATGTGTGTGTGTATGTGTGTGTGTGTGTGTGTGTGTGTGTGTGTATGCATGCGTATGTGCGTGTATGCGGGAGAAGACAGGTAAAGACGCGTGAGCAAATGCGTGCGTGGGCGAGCGAGCGAGCGGGAAGAAATGCGGGAAGAGAATCGTGAGAGTACAAGTGAGAATCGAGATGTAAAAAAAAGTGAATTATCGATTATTCTCGTAGAAATGAAGTCCAACTAGACTTAGGCGATCTTGTAATCTTGTATCGTAAGCTCACGAGCGACTCGTATTCACCGGTATACTTCATCTTTGGACCCGCCGTTAGACCCGCATGTGTCATCGTTTCGCCGACCGACCGATTGGTCGATTGATCGATCGATCGGTCGCCGCGAGTTCGGGCTAATTAACCGGATGTCCTAATTAGACTTTCTTCTTTAGCGCTCTTTTCGAATGCACGAGACTCTCAGCAAAAATAGTATGTTGCTTCTCTCGAACATCGTCTGATGTCCTCTAGAGCGAGTCACGAGTCGGTCGTAAGATCGCGAGCAGTTTACGATCTTAATATATTATATTGCAAGAAAAAGAGAGAGGGGAAAAAAGAAAGGAACGGGAACGAGACGAAGAAGAAGATGATGACGAGGACAAAAGAAGAGGAGGAAGAAACTCTCGCTGTCCGAACGTATCCGTCGCTCGAAGATGCAACACACGATGGGATTCGAACATTTCTAAGTTATCAATGGTAAAAAAACGTCCGAACTTATTTCCTCGAAATATATAAGTATGGGAAGGGGGGAAAGGGGGGGAGAGAAAAAAGAGAGAGAGAGAACTAGTCAGAGCGGGGGCATGAGAGAGAATAATTCGGAGCGCAAGAGAAAGAGAATGAGGATGAGTGTGTGTACACGTGTGTGTGTGTGTGTATGTATGTGTGTGTGTGTATAAGAGAGAGAGAGAGAGAGAGAGAGAGAGAGAGAGAGAGAGAGAATGACAAAAAGAACGAATGTAAGAAACAGAAAAAGAATGCATATTTCTAGGATGCGTACCCTTTTTTCGTGAAACAAAAGGCAGGAGGAAAGGCAAAGATTTATGAGAAAGGACGAGAGAATTTAAGAAAAAAAAAACAAAAAAATACATTTAGACGACGTTCCCGCGGCACCTCGGCCGAGAACTCCGTTCAAACGTTTGTTTCTCCTCGCTTGTAATACATCCCGTCGAAGAAATTCAATTGAGAATAAAACATTTTCGCGGGGCTCTCTCCAGACAACATCGATCTTCGTCGTACGGTATGTGTGTGCGTGTATGTTTGAATGTTATGCCCATCTATTTTGTTTCTCTTTATAAATCACACATATTGATATAATACATGTTTCTCCCTCTGCGCACGTGACGAGCCACGACTCGCTGTAAAAGCTATCGCCTCTCACTTACGGAGTTCGCGGCAGGAGATCGCGAGACGGTTAATATAAAGCGTTAGTGACTGTATCCAGTATATATCTGATAAAAGATACCCCCGATGCCAGAGATGGCGTGTGACAATAAAGTGATTCAATGATTTCATCGCGTTTGGATCATCCCCTTCACAGTGAAGCAGTCTTCCTTCTTCTTATAAACTGGAAATGATTCACGCTATACCTCAGCGAGAAATCATTCGTCGATCGATGTCGAAAAGTTCAAATCGACATCGTTTCGACGTCGATCGATGAGTCATTTCTCACTGGGTCTTGCGTTAATCGTTAAATTCACAAATTTGATCTTTGAATCTTACGAATATTTCAATTATAAATAACAATGAATGATAGAACTACAGAATTGTATCAACTTTTAGAATTATAAAAATTGAGTCGTGTGATGGTTCGATTAAAATCACGAAGGAGATAATATTCAACTTATTGTAAATTCCGTAAAAATGGCGAAAGTGAGATGATGCGACAAGCATTTTTCAACTAGATATATTATATATTATGTCTATGAGAATAGAAGTCGTAAAATCCAAAATTGTAAGGCGTAAAAAATTTAGCCAATCACGATCGATCATTCTTCGACCGCAATGAGAATAATCAACTGCAATTGATTAATTTTCTTACTATTTACAGAGAGAAACCTTAGAGCGGCTATTGAGCTGGATTTCAGGGGACGCATTTTTTGACGCGTCCCCTGAGAAAGTACATGTGAACTACGTTCATTCCGATGGTAACGGCAAAGAGCGCACGATTTTCGTTCACTCAAAAAATAGACTGACAACCGAGTTACTCAAATTCGCATTATTTCTCACTTTTATAGAGTGAAGAGTGAATCTAATGCATTCTATTGTCAGAGAAACATATTCATTCTAATCGATTGAAACACTGGTTACATGAAGTTTCTCAAAATTCACTTTAATCTTGAATGGAACGTTTATACTTGTGCTTTAGAGTTCCCCAATACTATATATATTTTTTATAGACACGCCTGCTGCCACTTTAAAAAATTTAGAAAGAATATACGCGTCCGTCTATTTAAAGCATAAGTATTTTATGTTATATTATATCTATGTTATATTAATAATAATGATAATAATGAAACAGATTTATTTTACGAAAAATGAATTATGGCCCAAATTGCAAAGTTATCGTTGAAATTTATTTATACGAGTTAAGATATTCATACATTTGCTAAGTTGTTCAGTAGTTTAATCAACAGTTGTCCGTAAAAGCGTCACCAGAAAGGATGTAGAAAGGATGTACAAATTTGTTTATCTCCTCATTTATTTGACGCAATCGCAAATTTAATAAACTTTTAACTCGTTCCTTCGTTTCTGCGTTCTGGTTATTCTCTTCTTCCATATATTTCCATATCTAAAACAGATTGTTGCCGTTCCAGTAAGTCACATTAATACAACTTGTTGTTGTTGACAGAAAGAAAAGTGCGTTGCAGCGTGATTCGTTGCATAATTAGTATAACACACATTTGCCTTGCATAGAACATAATAAAAATAATTGACAAGATGCGTGTCAGCAAGAGTGTGATACGTGAAAATCAGAAACTCACCTTGCGCAGTTGGCATTTGGAGTAGACGCTCATAATAATTTCAGCCATCCCTTCCACGTAAGTCATGCGACTGGAACAATGAAGCAATAAATTCGTCATCAGCAAATGCGTTAAGCCTGCGCGTGTTTCCATTTACGCGAACATTCTACGATATAGAAGAAGAAAGAGACCATACCCGTACGATATTTCATTGAAATTCTTCAGAATAAAATCGAGCACTTGAGGCTTTCTCGCATGCTTCCTCACAAGATCGTGAAAAAATTTCCTTAGCTCTGCATCTCCCAATTTTGTCCATTTATCATCAGGCCTGAATGTGGCCAATGCCAATAACTCTTGGACCAAGTGCTCGTCTTCGACACATACCGCGTAATTTAACATTACCTTATCATACCCATGCATGATATTAAGCATCACTTCGTACCAAATGGTGTTGTCAGCATTCATGATGCCTGCACAGTTCGTCCAGTCTTCCCATCCCGGCAAAATTCTACGTGAAACATGAGTAGTAGACAACGGAGAAATTTCAACAAACTTTCGGCCTCAAGATTTACACTCATTTGAATAGTACGTAGTTGCGAATAATATGATTACGGAAAAAGTTACTAATTAATAATTGAAACTGTATGTATATGGAAGTAGTTATTACTAGAGTAATTACTTATTGTCCTTCGGATACTCGATATATGCTATTAGTTTTTTGCGAGCCTTCTCCCTGCATTCGGCATGGCCGTGTTTACACGCCCAATTCAAGAGTAATAACCGTGTCGCTGTCGACATTTCGTCGTCCGTAGAATGTTCGTCGTATCCGATCGTATTCAAAACTTCACCCATGATGAACAACATATGATCCTGAAAAAATAGTCCACTAGTGCTAATCTTTTTTACGTCTTTAAAATTGTTTTCTTATAAACTCGACATTGATGTCGAGCTATTTTTGTCTTTAATCGGAATTCTGAATTTTTTTATAAAAATAATTCTGGAGATAACTGATAGTTAATCAGAAGGCTTGAAAGTCATCTTTAGAGCCATTTTTGTTAAAAGTGAATAGTTAAAATAGGTAAAAGAGGTACAATAGGTAAAAGAAAATAGCTTCAGAATAGCGATCTTTGTTTGAGTGTACCTTGAAAGTTTTACTTTCTAGGTAGTTGAAAAAAGGCGACATGTACTGCAGGACATTCATCATAGTGTGCCACGGTATAAAATGAGTCTCTCGCACTAGATAATCTGTCAGTCGTTGAAAAATGTCGTATTGTAACATGTTTTTCATTATAAAGTGAAACGCATCGTCGATCAGCTGAGCACGATTCAGGACGTGTATCTGTGTGTAATTCTCCGTGTTCAAGTAATCCACAATTTTTTTCCAGTTGGAGTATATATAATTCACACGATAATAGCCTGATGATAGAAAGGAAGGGCAAGTTTCATCGGTTAATTTCTAATGATCATTTCCAGCAGTGAAATCGAACGAACATGGCTTTTCTGGCCGATCGCCAGCACTCACCGAATTGTTGCACGTTGAATATGAACCAGTTTTCTATATTGCGCAGATAAATATTCAGAGTACTGTCATCGTTTCGTGACGAATTGTTATTTATCCACAATATAGGCAAGTCCCCTGTTATGAAATCAAGACTGTCCTGTGTCGTGAAAGTTACAGGTATCGGCCAGCCTTGTTCCTCACTTTTAACCTCATAAGATATAACTGTGTCAGAATCAAATTCTTGAACGAACAATATCGGAAAGCCTCTTCGTGACAGCCAGATATGCATTACTTCCGCTATGTTACGGAGATATATATAATTGAATTTATGCAGGTGGCTCTCCAGGATCTTGAAGAAATCGCTCGGTATGGCGGAACTGTACGCACTGAATAGCGAAATATTTATTACGACATCAGTCGAGTGAATATCGAGCAGAACGGATTGACTGGGAAATTATAATAGATTAACTTTGAAATTTACGAATTTCTTATTACCTCGGGGCTATCCGTTTTATCAACTAATTTATTTATTCCAAAATATCTGTTTACTTACCATAAAGTCCAAGGTACTTATAACATGTGAAATGTAATTTAAAATATAATCACGATTACGTAATATGCCGCATCATTACATCTCGACCGTTAAATTTTTCTACGGTATACGCAATTATTGCGTTACTTCGCGTATTACTTACTATGCACTAAGGTACTCCGCAAAAGCTTGTTGCAATGGCCCCTCTGGGATAATATGTTCAAACATCTTTATTAGAGCGGATGCTACGATACGGAAATGTGAGTCATAAAAATGTAAAGCGCAACATAAATTTCATATAAAGTCCAACGTAACAAACATGCATGATTATTTCGTAGTAAGTGCCGATATTGTGCAGAAATGTTATCTTTCAAATTTTCGAATGTATCTTCTCTATTGAAATAATGTATTCAATCTCTGGCCACATGTATTAACAAATTGCGAAAATAAGTTGGTCAGCAGTTAAGATGTAAAAATATGCCTTGCACTGTTTGTATTTGGCAATTCGCGAATAATTGCTCAGTCATATGTATGTTCGATATGATTTTACTCTCATACAGATTTCAACCAACGAGTATATTTCTAATTATATCTTTCACACGTTCTCACCTTTTTTATAGATGAAAATGGAGTAAATCGGATCGTATTCATGTATGACAGGTGTTACATTAAATGCAATATCGTTGTGCATAGCAGGCTGTTGCACTTGCACAACAAAAAGTTGCATCATAAGGTCCTCGCTATAGTCCTGCAATTTAAAACAGATAAGAAACTCTGTAGATACACTAAACTTTTGCTTTCATAATATGCTAGACTTGGCGATACGCATTTCGCTGAAGCTCATTGCTAAAGAGAAAAATCAAATATTGCCACGAGATATCAAAACACTATAATGACATACGACATCAACGTGGGATGTGGAACAGTTTAATATTCACTCGGCGTGTTAATAAGAAATTCGTGAAACAATTGAACGATCAGTCTATTTTTCGGTACATTAACATATAAAAGATGGGTTTGCATCCGACAGCGTCATCTGCGCGACCACGTCTTCAAGCGTTTCTTTTAATTAGCACGTACAGAATCGCGTGTCGTCGCAACGTCGACAAGATGAGGGAAGAGAAAAATTACCTGCCCAGCGATTTTGTAACTGAGATATGTCGCGAAAGCATGACTGAACCACTGGTGAGACCATTCCGTCGGGCTGACGTAGCTCTCGATGCATTGTTGTGTCATCTGCTTCCCTATCAACTTCCATATGTCGAGTTTGTGTCCGGGAAAATGGGAATCCGCTTCGTAGAAGACACGTTTGTCTCTGAAAATCATGTTCCCAAGTGAGACAGTTATGTCGCGATTATTCTCCAACACATTCAAGTCGATCGCTGATAGCAAAAAAAATCGGGCCACTTGAAGTGCTACGTCGAGAGTTCTGCGCGCCGAAAAAGTATTCGCGTTGATAAATGAATTTGCATTTCCGTATGAGCGAGACGACTGACGACAAAGACGGCGAGCATTCAAGCATTAAGCGCTAGGAAAGAACTTTTTCTCGCGCACCCTCGTTTCTGTTCGATCCTCTGATCACAAGTATCACCTGAAAATCATAAATCCCAATGATCCCTCGGCGTCAACCGGCAGATTCGGATACGCAACAACAGTGATCTTCCATTTTCCCCACAAATTGTTCGTGTAGCCAGTTAAAAAGCTGTTGGCCAATTTAATAACCCTCTCAGTGACTAAAATTTGGCTCTTCTCGTTCCATTTGTACCACATTACAACGTCCTTGTTGTCTCTGGTTTCTAGATTGAAGTTGACAAGCACGATCATCACGAGGTAGGTGGATATCGCTGGTGTAGTTTGGAAAACGATGTTTGTTTCCCCATCCGCTGATACCACTTCATATGCAGACGGCATGCTCGAGAATATCTTGTTGAAATACGAACGCCTGAAGGTGATGTTGAAATTTGCCTTGAACGTCAGGTCATCCCAACACGGAAACACACTTCGAGCCCCGGTCGGTCTGAGCAGCGTTATGTACGACGGCCTAATCGCATATCAATCATAAATAATTTCTGTAATGACGGGATCACTGTTGCGAACGAGAACTTTGTTGTATTTAATATAGGCCAATGTTTTTGCAGCGATACATGAGAGATTCGAGAGACGTTGGCGACATCATTTTGTAAGTCACGATTGTCACAACAAATCCTGCGACGAATATTTTTTTAGGTATGCCTGTTTCTCGTTTAAGAAGCACAGCAAAGTATTTGATGACATTCTGTGTCTTCTACGAGAAAAATTTGTTTACCTTCTCGCAGCAGGTCGATCTCGACGAGATATGTTAACGTGCACTTAAATCTTTCGTGTATTTCAGGAAAGAACGTTATATTATACATTTAAGAATAAATTAGACGAACAGCGAATATTACTTAAACCATCATTACGAGGCTTGTTAATTTTCAATGAGAATCGAAAATTATATCTCGCGGATCTCTCTGTGTATCGCACTGGATAAACAATGCACAAAAGATGGCTGTTTTTTCTCATGTTTTTCTTTTAATCTGTTACTTACTGTTTATCATATTTTAAACTTTGGAACGCTACGAAGCCGTGTGTGTTGCTCAGGATGCCTTCGAAAGCCATGTCAAGCGTATAAATGCCGGGAGATATTTCGTTATAGAATTTGAGGAGAAAAGCCTGTGTTTCTTTGCAATAAATAAGTTTCTCTACTTCGTCCACTTTGACTGAGTATTGACCGTTGTCGTCTTCTTCATTCTTGTACAGTACTATAGTACTTATATTTATGATCAAGTTGTAAGCGTGAATAGTAATATATGGGGTCCTACTATTTACCGCGATGATCGTACTGCTCGTCCCGACGATGATGGTATTCGACAAAGACAGATTAATCTTATAAGTTCGAGGTTTTACATCAAGCGGTAAACGATAATCGAGTGCATTGGGTGGACAACCTTCCAAATATTTGCTCCCGTCACTCGTCATTGCGGCGTTAAATGGCGTCAAACTGACGATGAATAACAGCGTGAAGAACATCACGTCAATTTTCGTTCCACTAATCTGTGGAATTATTATCATCTTTAGCGACGAAACGAACAGTACATAACAAACACGTCCATAATTTTATGTTTAATTAACCAGTGATTCGATTAATCGAAGACTCTACAATATTACATGTTCGAAACTGCTATCTCTTACCGTGTCAAATTAGGACGAACGCACAGAACTCAATGTTATTATAACAGCATAACTGGCCGCTGAGCCGAGTTTGAACGCGAATAAATACCTCATGCAGGATCATGGCAGATCGATAGACAAGGACGAATATCGATGTCCCGACGAAATAGAAGCTATTTTTCTTCAGATTTCAAATTTTTTATCTCGCTTGACGCGCTCGTTTCGTGAAATTCATCTCGATATTAACCGAACTACGCGCGCTACTTCGTACGAAATCGAACGGTCGGGAATAAGAAAAGAAAAAGAAAGTTAATATTTCGTACATTAATTACTGCATTACGTGCATATTGACGGCGTTAATATTTGTGTTGGCAAATGTACGATACTTAATAATCTATAATAATGACGATGATAAAGGAACGAACTTAGGAAGGAGCAAGTATGGCATAAATTGTAAAGTTAACATTGATTTTCATATATTATAATAAACGAACAACAATTACTAAGTTTAATCAATAATCATTCATTGATTCTTCAACAGTCGTCTATAACTGTGCCATTGTTGAAACGTTGCATGAATATTATCTTCTGCTGATTTATCTGTCTCAACCGAAAATCTATCAACCATTTAACTTGTTCCGTTTCCTTGACCTCGTCACTAGTGTTTTGATTATCTTTTAAGCCGTTCATATGCTCTTCCTCCAGGTAGCTCGATATCTAAAACAGATCGTTACTGTCTCACTAAATAACATTAACACTGTTTGCTGCCAGAAAACTTCGTTACGGTGTGATCTTTTACGTAATTACGTAATATAATGCAGCATACGTGGCTTATGTGAAACATAATAAATAAATAATTGGCAAGTTATACGTCAGCAATATTGTGAGATCCACAAGCTTACCTTGTTAAGTTGGCATTTGGAATAAACGCTCATAATAAGATGAGCTATTCCCTCCATGTGGGTCATATGACTGGAAAAATGAAGCAACAGAGAGAAAGTTGTGAGCAGATGTGATAAGCGTATATGCCCACATTACATTATAGAAAAGAAAAATCTTTTATTATACCCTTTGATTATTGCAGCAAAATTGGTCAGAATGAAATCAAGCACTCGAGGCTTCCTCGCGTGCCTCTTCACAAGGTCAAGATATAATTTCGTTAGCACTGCATCTTTCACATTTATCCATTTACTATGAGATTTTAATGCAACCTGTGTTATTAACTCTTGGACTAAGTGTTCATCTTCAACGCACACTATTTGATTTAACATTATTTTATCACGGCTGATATTAGGCATCAAGGATTTATTCCAATCGGTGATGTTGACGTTCATGATGCCTGCGCAGTACGTCCAGTCTTCCCATCCCGGCGAAATTCTGCGTGAAACATGAAAAGACGAAAGAGAAGGTTCAACATATCCTCAGCCTCAAGACTTACACGATCATATGATGTGGAGTTGCAAAAGATATAATTGTGAGAAAGACTACTGATTAATAATCGAATTCGTGAATGAGGAAATAGCTATTATTAGAGTGATTACTTATTCTCCTCCGGATTATGTAGGTGTGCTAGTAGTTTATCGTGGGCCCTCTCTCTACATTCATCATGGCCATGTTTACACGCCCAATTGAGGAGTAACAACTGTGTTGCTTTTAACATGTCATCGTCTTTAGAATCTTTGTTGTATCCGAGGGTCGATAAAACGTTTCTCATGATGTCCAACATAAGGATCTAGAAAAATCGTCGGGGAGGGAGAGGAGGATATTATATTTCTCTGCGCTTTGTATATCATACTCCGAAAACTTTGTGCCTGACGATCGCCTAATCGTCTAATCATGACATGACACTTTGAACATTCTAATATTGAACTACTTTTGTTTTGTCGTCGCGTACCTTGAAATATTTACTCTCTGGATAGTTGAAGAAAGGCGACATATAATGCAGGATATTCATCATAGAATGCCATACTATGAAATTCCTTTCTTTCTTTAAGTATCCGATCAGCCTGTAGAAGACTCCATATTTGACTTCATTCTGCATTTCAAGATGATACGCGTCATCGATGATCTGAGCACGATTTAGAACATGTATCTTCGTGTGTTCGCCGTTGTTTAGGAAATCCGCTAGTTTTATCCAATTGTCAAATTCGTAGTTGACGCGATAGTAGCCTGTCGCAGAAACAAAGATCCTGCATCGCCAATTGTTGTCCAACCCGTTCCCAGTAATTAAAACGAACGAATGGCGTCAGCACTCACCGAATTGTTGTACATTGAGTATAAACCAATCTTCCGGGTCGGGTTTTGCAATATGCAGAGAAGTATCATTCTGCGATCGATTTTGGTTCCATAATATAGGCAAATCCCGCGAGAAATTACAACTACTTTGTGTCGTGAATATTAGAGGTATCGGCCATTTCTTTTGTTCGTAACTGATATATTTTGCGTCATAAGATAAGACGATTATTTTCATACCACCATTGTCGAGTTGAGGAAGTAATGTTGGATAGCGTCTTAGCGACAGCCAGATTTTCATTATTTCCCCTATAGTGAGTCCTGTATAATTTTCTTCATATATTTTGTTCACGATCTTCAGGAAACCGAACGGTGTGGCGAATTCGTAAGCGCTATACAATTAGAATGATTTTTATAACATGTATGCGCGTGCGAATACCGAATACCGCGTTAATTTATATGTGAAAATAATGAATTACGTATTATTTCGATCATCTATTTTTTTCCATTTAATCCATTCACCAAAAACCATTCATTTATTCGATAACTTAATTTATAATATAACGCATGCAAAAGGTTTAATTTGAAATTGCAATTATATAATGCGACGCATTATCGTATTTTCATTGTTAAACTTTACTCAAGTGTTTACATAATTATGGCATAATATAATAATAATAATAATAATAATAAAATATTACTCACTTTAAATACTGTTCGATTGCTTCCTGCAATTTCTCCTCGGTAATGATGTATTCCAACATTTTTATTAAAACGGATGCTACGATATGATGCGTATCATGAAAAAAGAGTAAGGTATAAAATTAGAATATAGTGAAACACAACGTGCCTACGTGATTGATTTTAAAACTTTCATACGTGGCCTTCCGTCATTCCGTCATCAATGATGTAATTAAATTCTAATGATAGACACGTTATGCTAGATTGCCAAAACAAGTTGGTTTGCCACTAAAATACGGCGTGTCTAATATTACTCAAATACGGCATATTTCGGATAATTGTTTAATTATATTTCTTAAGTGCATCTTTACCGTTATTTTGACTTTAATGAACAGATATACTCATGATCATATTATATCGTGCGATTCGCGCTTTTTCACCTTTCTTGTAAATAAGATGAGAATAAAATGGATCATCGTCTGTTATAATAGATGATATATTAAGTGCAATATCGTCGTGCATAATAGGTTGTTGCACTTGTACTACAAAAAGTTGCCTCATAACGTCCTCTCCATACTCCTGAAACAAAAAGTTGTTAACGATAAGAGAACCTTGGAATATTTTGTATTTTATTACTCCCAAAACATGCTAAATTTAGCGATACGAATGTGGTCGTAATTAAATACAAAATTAAATGTCATCATAAAGTTATACAATAACAATAAAATGTGATATTAGATATGTTTATGTGATATAATGAGTGATGTGATATTAGATATTAGATAGATATTAGATTAGTGATTATGAGATATGAAACAATTTAATTTCAATCCAATGCTTCAAACTCCGCGAAGTCTTTGAAATCATTAAACGATCAGTCTTATTCTTTATTTCATTGATATGAAAATCAATATTGATATGAAAATCAATATTGAATAGCTTCATCAAGTTTGATAGATCCACACGCAAGCAACGCTTGCAAGCGTTTCTTTTAAATTGTTTAAGCAAAATCAGATGTCAATAATGCAAACGATATTTAAAAGAAATCACCTTTCCAATGATTTTATAACTGAGAAAATTTGCCAATGCTTGGCTGAACCATATGTAAGAACTCTTCAGTGGGATGATTAAACTATCGATACATTGTTGTACCATTTGGTTTGCTAGCAACTTCCATACTTCGAGTTTGCGGCCGGGAAAATGGAAATCCGGTTCGTAGGAAAGATGTTCCTCGCTGAAAACCATGTCCTCAAATCAAACAATTACGTTGTGATCATTCTCTTACATATTCAACTTGATCGCTGATAACAAAGTAATTCGAAACAATTGAGAATACGATCTATCGAAAGTTCTATATGTAGAAAGCCGCTGTTTGCGGTAATGAACAAATTTGCATTTCCGTATAAGCGAGGTAGTCTACTACAAATGCCGCGAATTCTTAAGTACTGAGAGAAACTTTTCTTCTCTCCCTCTAATTTCTGTAATAGTCTGATGATCTATATTACTTGAAAATTGCGATTCTCCATGATCCCACGGCATTATTCGGGAAATTCGGATACGCTATGATATTGGTCGCCATTTTCTCCCACAAGTGACCTGTGTAATCACTTAAAAAGTTATCGGTCAAGTTGGCAATCCTTGCGATGTACATTTGGTCCCATTTGTACGACATCTGGTCCCATTTGTACCATACTGTAATGTTATCGCAGTTAATGGCTTCTACAGTGAATTCAACAAGCATGATCGTCATTAGGTAGACGGCCATCTCCGGTGTAGGGTAGAAGGTCGTCATTACTTTCTCGTCCGATAATACATTTAGATCCTTCAACGGCATACTTGAGAAGGACATGGCTGTGCTCGAATGTACGAAGGTGAGGGTAAAAGTTGCCTTGAATATTGGTTCATCCCAACACGGAAACACACCTCGAGCCCCGGTCGGTCTGAGCAGCGTTACGAATGACGCTCTAATCATATTTTAATCATAAAATGTTTATAACAACATGATCGCTGCTGCGACACTTTGTTATGCACTAAGCCCATGTCGTTGCAGCGATACGTGAAATTATGAGAGACGTTAGCGATATCATCTTGAAAATCATAATTGTTCAATAAATTGTGCGATCAATATTTTTTTTTAGATATGCGTATTGCATATGTAACAAATTTTCTACGAATACTTCCCATACATAAGAAACATGTTTGCTTTGACGCTCCTTCAATGATTTGTATTACATGAGAAATACACGGTTTAATATATAATAATAATATATGACATGTATATGATAATAATTAAGATGGAATAGAGAATATTAATCGCACATTATTGTAAAGCTTATTATTAGTTTGATGGAAATTATAAATTATAAACATTATGCAGACTACCTGATGCATCGCGTTGGATAAAAAGCGCAGAGAAGACGGCAAATTTTCGTAATTTTATTTCTTACTTACTTTGAATCATACTTCGAGCTTAGGATCGGTATCCAGCCATAGTTGCCGTCCGGATAGGCTTTGAACTTCATGATTAGCGTGTAAAACCCAGGAAATAGCTTCTTGTGGAATTTTAGAATATAAATCTGCGATTTTGCGCAATAACTGACTTCCTTTAAATTTCCGTTTGGCGATGAGTAATTAGGAGTGGTAAAATATATGTTCCTTAGCAGTATTGTTTCTTCGTCTATGTATAAGTTGTAACCGTGAAAAATAATGTTTGTGGTTTCATGGATTACGTCGATGAATGTTTTGCTCTCCCCATCAAAGATGTTGTCCTGCAGTTTAATTAGATTAACTTCATAATGTCGGGGTTCTATATCGGAAGGTAAATAATAATCATCTTCATTGGACGGACAATTTTTCGAATAGTTGTTATTAATCGTCCTTGCAATGTTGAAATTCAGGCTGGTGAACAACAGTGTAAAGAATATCACGTTGTTTCTCATTCCGCTCATCTAAAAGAAAAAAAATCATTTTTTGACGACAAAGAAAAAACAATACACATACACATACACCCAAATGTACGATTTTTGATTTAATGAAACAGTGGTCTAGTTAATCGACGACGTTACAATTTTATTATATTCGAAACTGTCCTTCTCTTACCATTTCAAATCAGAAACTTTCGTTAGAACTCGATGTCATTAGAAAGGCCGAAATGGTGAACGCGATCTCAATGTCAATAAATACTTTACGCAGGAACGTGGCACATAAATAAGCAAAAGTGAAATATCGGTATTTCGTCGAGATAAACAATTGTTCTGTTTCAAATCGGAGATCATTCGTCTCATTTGACATGGCTATTATCATAAACTATGTCGGACAATAATAGAATTGCCGCGCTCATTACTTGAAATAAGATCGATTCATCTGAAATAAAAAAATTTAACATTGTTTCAATAAATTATTGTTGCATGCTGTTTGTGTCGTTAATGCTTGAATTGACAAATGTATGATGCTCGAACGGAATTATATAAAGGATGTATCTGGATTCCACCGACAAACTCACAGAATAGATTTAAAAAAAATAAGAATAAAAAAATAAGAATAACTATACATACACTGTTAACCCATAAGTTAATACACAAGTAATATATAAATATATTATATACACAAGTAACTCTCTAGGCATATATTATTATAAGAAAAGTTCGAAATTTTTGCCGTATCTGCAGGTTCCTCGAAAGTATAAGCACTCGTAATATCAATATAAAATAATAAGTTTTTCAGTTGTTACCGACAAACAATAAAAATATATCAACGTCACAATGAATTATTCTTCGGTTAATATTCATAACTTATCAAAATTGATAGATATTATCGTGAAAATAGGTAAAAAGGTGTTGAAACAGTATTTTTAATTTTCTGTTTACGATACATTTTCTTTCATTGTTATCTTCTAAAGACTATATTAAAAAGACCAAGCAGTTGCAGATATATGTATACTGAGACGCTTTTCTTATTTTTCAACGTAAAATCTAGCTTGTAAATCTACCGGTGGAGTTCAGAATTCAGATACGCCCTCTATAACTATATAAAATTATATATAATTATACTCATAAATTATATATGTATAATTATATACATATTATAAAACATATAACACTTCACATATGTCGTCTGTAAATCATTCTAACGGATAGTATCCGGATACTACATATCCGGATATAATGTCCGCAAAAAAACGCTGTTAAAGGAAAAAAAATGTGGTTACACTTAATTATACGTCTACATTACGAGCAGCTATAACAATTATTTTAATTCTATTAACAATTAATAAACAGTTACTTTAATTTTATTTGGACAACGACATTTTTCCTAGTGGACAAATGTAATTATATATGATTATATGTACATAGTCATATAGAGACAAAATTTACATACAATCATATATAATTATTTTTTGTCGAGCAGAGTAACTAATAATATTTTCCATAACAATGATGCGACAGTTGAACGGATTTAACTCGGGTGGGAAAATATATGACGCATATATGTATCGTAAAGTCAATATTAATATTTATTTTAATGTTATAACAGACAAACAATTGAATTGTTTCATTAACAATCATTTGTCCATTAATTAACATTCATTTACAACTGTGCCATCGTGGAAGCGATACACATATATATATCTCTGGTTATGTATTTGCTGTAATCGAATAATTATCAGTTTTTTTATTTGTTCGATTATATCCGAGTTATTTTTGTGCTTTCTTATCACGTATTGCCATACCTGAAACATATTATTATAATTTTAATAAGTAATATTAATTCAGCTTGCTGTCAGAAATTTGCGTCGTGGTGTGATCTTTTGGCACAATTAATAAGACAGAATACACGGCTTATGTAGATGATAAAAATAATTGACAAAATGTACGGCAGCAGAAGTGTGAAGCGTGAGATCCAAAAACTTACTTCTTCAAGTTGGCATCTGGAATAAAGGCTCATAATAACTTCAGCCATCCCCTCTATGTATGTCATACCACTGGAATATTGAAGCAACAAATTCATTGTGAACAGACGCGATAAACATGATAATGTTTCGTACTTTGTATGTAATGGACATTCTACAGCATAGAAAAAAGAGAAGATAGCCATACTTGTGTAATATTTTACCAAAACTGTTCAGAATAAAATCAAGCACTTGGGCCTTCCTCGCGTGCTTCTTCATAAAGTCGTGATAAAATTTCTTCAGCTCTGCATCTCCCAATTCTTTCCATTTACCCTCAGGTTTGAATGTGGCCAGTGCCAATAACTCCTGGAGCAAGAATTCGTCTTCAAAACACAGTATGTTATTTAACATTACTTTGTCATGTCCATGCATGATGTCGAGCAGCAGTATATATCCATTGGTAATATTTGTATTCATAAGGCCTGCGCAATGCGTCCAGTCTTCCCATCCCGGTAAAATTCTAAAATATGTAAAAACGAAAAATATAAAATATGAACAAAGTATAAAAACAAAAAGAAAAAAAGATATGAACGTGAAATATGAAAAAACGAAAGAGAAGATTCAACATATCTTTAGTCTCCAGATTTATACAATCAGATGATAGTTGCGAGAAATATGATCATGAAAAAGGTTACTACTTAATAACTGAAATTGTGTGTGTGTGTGTGTGTGTGTGTGAAGAAATAGCAATTATTAGGATATAATTACTTATTCTCTTTTGGATAATTGATATGTGCTATCAGTTTATCATAGGCCCTCTTTCTGCATTCAGCATGGCCGTGTTTACACATCCAATTGAGAAGTAGCAACCGTGTTGCTCTCAACATGTCATCGTCCGCAGGAGTTTCGTCGTATCCGATAATCGACAAAACGTTTTCCATGACGTTCAATATAAATAACTTGAAATTTTTACTGTCTGGGTAATTGAAATAAGGCGACAAATACTGCAGAACATTTATCATAGAGTGCCATACTATGAAACTCGTCTCTTTCCGCAAGTATCTGATCAACTTGTAGAAAACCTTGTAATTTAATGTGTTGCTCATTTTAAAATGATACGCATCATCGATGATCTGAGCACGATTTAAGACATGTATCTGTGTGTGGTCATCATTGTCTAGGAAATCAGCTATTTTTATCCAGTTTTTCACATCGTAATTGACGCGGTAGTAGCCTGTTGTTGAAACAAAAACCGATCACATCAATCTTCTCCAGCGATCGTTTCCAGTGGTTAAAATGACGAACAAATGACTTTTCTACACTCTGTCGATACTCACCGAATTGTTGTACGTTAAGTATAATCCAATCATTCGGATGATGCTCGATATTTATGGAGTTTTTATTCTTTTGCGACGAATTGTGGTTCTGCCATAATATAGATAAATTCCCCACGAGATTAGGATTCTTTTGTGTCGTGAATGTCACAGGTATTGGCCATTTCTGTCGGTATTTGTCGGGATATTTCATGTTATAAGGTAGAACGGTTGATCCCGTGTCATCATCATTGGATTCAGTAAGCAATATTGGATAGCTTTTTTGCGACAGCCAGATGTGTATTATTTCTCCTATGGTAAAGGGCTTTGTATAATTTGCTTGATATATTTCGTCATCCAGGATCCTCAAAAAATCATATTGTGTGGCAGATCCGTAAGCACTGTACAATTGGAATATTTTCTATAACGATCTGTGATATTGAGCGCGAATATCAAATGTCATGTTAGTTTGAATTGGAAAGCAACGACGTACGTGTTACTTCAATTATATAATTTTCCATTTATCAAGACGTTTATCAAAAATGCTCGTTTATCCTAAAATTTAACTTGATAAAATTATATAATTATATAATAAATTTAATTTAATTTATAACATAATGCATGCAAAATGTATAAATTTAGTATGGAATCGCAGTTTCATTATTGTACCTCTGTTGCTAAACTTAACTAAAATACATTTAATTTTTGCATTATATTGTATGATAAAACATTATACTTACTATGTCTTTAAATATTCCTCCAATGCCAGCTGCAACTTGCTCTCTGTGATAATATTTTCCAACATTCTTATCAAAGCGGATGCTACGACATAATGCGTGTTATAAAAAGTGCAAAAAATAACATAAAATTAGGATAAAGTGTCAACATGACATAACGCGCATGATTATTTCGTAACCGTTACCGACAGAGATGAATGCTATTTTTATTAAAATGATATAATTAAATTCTAATGAAAAAGAATAGATTACGAAAATGTAAAGATTTGTTGATCGGTGACTAAATTACGGCGTGTTGTATATCTTTTTACACTCTTCAGTTTTGATTTTAATGAACGAACATGCTTATAATTATATAGTGACATTGATACAAGCATCTTCACCTTTCTTGTAAACAAGATTAGAATAAATTGAGTCATATTCCTGTATGATAGATGGTACTTGAAACTCAATATCATTATGCATAGCAGGCTGTTGCACCTGTACTACAAACAGTTGCATCATAATATCTTCTCCATAATGCTGAAATTAAAAATTTTCAAAGTTTAGAAAATTCGGGGATATATTAAATCTTATGGTACGTTTGTCTAGTTATAATAATTATAAAAGAGTCACAGGAAAGTCAAACATTATCGTAAAATTTCATTATATAGCAACAACATGTGACGTCTATATGAAACATGTAACAGTTCAATTTTTATTTTTTGCTATGAACTTTGTAAAATCTTTGGACCACTTAAACCGTAGTTCTTGTCTCTTTCAGCGTCTCTTTCAATTGTGCGTCGCGTGTCGCTAATAGTAACAAAATGAAGGAAAAGGAAAGTCACCTTGCCGACGATTTTATATTTGAGCAACTCTGCAAATGCACGACTGAGCCACAAGTGAGACCATTTCACTGGGCTGACGAAACTCTCGATGCACTGCCGTGTCAATTGACTTGCTACCGATTTCCAGATCTCCAGTTTGCGACCGGGAAAATGAAAGTCTGGTTCGTAGAGGAGATCAGCTTCTCTGAAAATCATATTTCGAAATAAGAGTGCCTTGTCGATCGTTTTCTCACGCGTTTAAATGTTTATCGCGAACACTGAAATCATTCGGAAACACTGAGAATATTTGGCGCGATATGCCAAAAGTCTTGCGCGTAGTGCAGAAAGAAACGTCGATTTCGAGGAAAATAATTCAATTCTACCAAACTCATGTCGTTTGTTAATTACCATTTAATACTTATTTCGTATAATCAACGCTTGCATCGGTACCTAAAAGCTTTTCTGTTACCTGAAAACTGCGAGTTCCCAGGCTCCCACAGGATTACTCGGGAATTTCGTGAATGCGAGGATATTGATCCCCATAACATCCCACAAGTAACTTGTGTAAACAGTTAAAAAGTAATTGGCCAGTTTACTGATCTCTCGGACGACATCTATTTGATCTTCAAGGTTCCACTTGAACCAAATCTCGATCTTGTCCTCTACCACGCATTTTAGAGTGGTTTCAACGATCGCGATCGTCACCAGGTAAGTGGACATTCTCGGTGTGGACGCAAATGTCGTCAATACTTTCTGTGTTGATGTTAATGTCCTTTTTCCGGAATACGGCATAATCGAGAAGACATTGGCTGTGAACGAGTGCTCGACAGAAATGTCGAAGATAGCTTTGAACGTCGGCTCATCCCAGCACGGGAATAAGTGTCGAGCCCCGACCGGTTCAAATAGCGTCACGTACGACAACCTAATCGCATTTCAAGTAACATTTCAGTAACAATAGAATCACATAGTTATGATACGTTATCATTTCCGTCGTTTCCGCGATACGCTAGATTTGGGGCGATTTAGCGGTATCGTCTTGTGAGTCAGAATTCTCCACTAAATTCTACGACCAGCATTTTTTAATAGTTGTATTTTTTAATAGTTTTAATGGTTTTTTAATAGTTAGACATCCCTCACTTAACACGCATCGCAAAACGTCGGAAATTCTTGGTTCGCATTTTTTTAAGATGATAAATTCGTTTACTTTGTTAGGGCATGTCGACCTTGACAAAACACGTTAACGCGCATGCAGTGTTATCGTATTGCATGATGAAAATATGATGAAAATATGAAATTATACGTTTGAGAGTAATTAAGAACGACCGAGGAATATTAATCGCACGTAATTGCGAACCTCATCAGAGTTCGTCGGGAATAAGAAATTACGAACGTTGCGCGGATCTCTCTGTATATCGTGCTTGACAAACAACGTACAACTTTTGTATCAACTGGTGTTTTGTCAAAAAATGATTTTTATCTTGTGTTTTATCAGTTGCTTACGTCTTAACATATTTCGAGCTTTGGACCGGCACCAAGCCAAGGCTGCTATCCATATATCCCTCGTATTCCATGCTTAGCGTATAATTTCCAGGGGATAGTTGCTCTTGGAATTCGAAAATAATGGTCTGTACATTGTAGCAATAAGTAATTGATTCCAATTTTTTGACCAGATTTTGACTGTTTTGTTCAGACTTCAAAATCCGTATCGTTTGTTGATGCACATGCAAGTTGTAACTGTGGAAAGCAATAATCGCGGTTGCACGAAGTACTTCGATGATTGCTTTGTACTCCCCGACGAAACTCTCGTTATTTATGAGCAGTTTGATTTTATACTGATGAGGTATCACATCTGTTGGCAAACGATAATCGAATGTATCGGCCGGACAAGCCGCAAATTCGCTGATATTTTGTATCGCGGCGACAAATGTCAGGTCGGCGTTAAACAATAGCGTGAGGAACACCACGCCAATTCTTGTTCCAGTCATCTGTAAGTAAATGAATTTTTTTCGATGCTGAAGAGAAGACAGTAAACACTCGCGATTTAAAATGCAGTTAATTAATTATTCGTTTCAATTTTATCGTGCCCGAAATAGTTTTCTCTTACCATTTCAAATCAGTGTCCCTCAAAATTCGATATCGTTATAACGTCGACGTAGAGTCTGAACGTCAATAAATACTTCATGCAGATCGTAGCACATAAATAGATGAGGGCGAATATTGATGTTCCGATTGGTGTTCAATAAACAATTATGTTGATTTGAATTCAAAATCTTTTATCTCGTACAACGTAATCGTTAATATAAATTTCATCGTACTTAAACAATCAAACTTACATGAACTATCGTATTTAAAATATTTTTGTTTTCTCAATTTTATTGTATATTGTTCTCAATACATGAAATGCAATTTTGAAACGCATTTCTAATTAAATATAATAACAAACCTCTCTATAGGATTCCACTAAATTTGATGCGTTATTATCTGACGCATCATCTTATTATTATTATTATATTATTATAATTATTATTATAATATTATTATGTTATTATTATATCATCGTGTACACATAGATGACGCATCATTGACGCATCAAATGAAAATCTGTTTTTATTTGCTGATGTTTATTAATATTAATATTGGATAATATTTGTTGAGTTATGTAAGGCGATACTATTTCTATCAAAAGTGCATAAAAAGCAATATAACTGATAATGAAAACGAAAAGCAATTTTTTAAGAATACTTTCAGTGAGAGAAAAGAAAAATTCCGGAATAAAGAAAAATTCAAGATTTTACGTAACTTTTCGAGTACTATCGAATGCAATTTTATATAAACATTCACAAATAAACGCCTAGTTTAGATTTTACCTAATTTCACATGCCCACGCGATGAATGAAGATCTAATCCAGACGTTTTTTTATAAACTTTTGGATTTGCATTTAGTAATACATTTAGTAATACTTGTCAAAACAAAGAAAATTACACTTCGCTCGGTTTTCTCCGACGACCGGAAGTGCTTGTAAGTTAGTGTAACGTGCTTAAAAAACCTGATTTTTGTTAATTTGATGATTTTGAAATTTCCAAAAATCAGTAAGTTAATAAAAGTCAAGGCGCTATTGTAACAATATATTCTTGAGACTAAATAAAGCAAGAAAGTCTAATACCACTCTTTCTTCCGACAAATAGTTAGCGAGATATCGTAAGTTAAATATTGAAAAAGTTATCAAGTTTTCCTCAAATATCTAAAAGAATATTAGACAAATAAAAGAATGTTTTAGACAAAAGTTGTTCAAATTAACTAGTATAAAAAAACAGTGTAATAAAAAATAAGGATTCCCATTTAAAAAACGCAAGTTGACCTTCAAATGACCTTGAAAATAGAGGTCAAGATCAAAGTCAAGGTTATCATAAAGTAGCTCACTTAAATCCCTACAACTTTTATTCAGATCATTTTCCTTGAAACTTCAATACTGAAGAGTTATTTTGGGTAGGACATTAAAATAGAACACCCTGTATATACAGGATGCTAAATTTCAAACAGATACTAAATTTCATAACAGATAAAAAATCTCGAAAACCTGAACATGAAAAATATTAAAAAAAGCTAAAACATGTGTTCTATCATTTCGAAGGGGAAGGAGAATGGCATTATCAGTTTTTTTATTTGGAGGGCATTTTCAAGGTCAGTTGAAGGTCAACTTAATTTTCTAAAATAGAAAACCCAATTTTTTATTATATCTTCTTTTTCTACCAATTAATTTTAACAACTTGTGTCTGAAACATTTTTTATTTGCCTAATATTTTTTGAAATATTTAAGGAAAACTTGGTAACTTTTTCAACATATAACTTACAATATCTCGCAAACTATTCATCGAAAGAAAAAATAGTATTATATCTTTTTACTTTATATACTATCAAGAATATATTACTATAATAGTGCCCTAACTTTTGTTAATTTAATAATTTCGAAATTTCCACAGGTTGATAAACATATTAGAGAAATAAAATTTTGTAATTAAATTTTATATATTGATATAAAAATAAATAATATTTTTTGCATTTCAGAATTTTATTGTTTACAAACCTTTCCTTTACGTATTTTTGAATGTTTATTTTGCTAATAATTACGAATAGTGGACAATTCAGAATGATGTCCATTTTAGATCCTTGGTTTGGATATTCTATGGACGTCCAGAATTGTGAAAAACGGACGTCCTGTGGATGTCCTATGAACGTCCGTCGGATTTTTTTGGACATCTTATGGACGTCCCGAAGTTCAAATTCGAACGTCCACTGGACATTCGTTGGACGTACGTATGTTATTTGGGTTGCTTATAATTTGCGATCCCGCACATTTGGAGAGCAACTGCTTGCATACTTTATTTATAAAATATAATGTTTAAAGCTTTTTTGTATGTCAAATGTAATTAAATAAATTGAAGTAAATTAATATTTTCCTCATAATTCAGTATCTTTATTTTTCCAAAAATGACAATCTTCGATTTTCAAAATAAATACCTTTTTTTCAACTATAGCCGACTATAGCACTCATTTTTTTCTTAAAGTAACACATCTTGAGATAATATTGTCACAAGCATTAAAAAAAAATTAAAAATTAAAAAATATATGAATTTTTTACTCAAAAAAGGTATTTTTCGCGTATACTTTGCTCCAGCAATTTTTTAAACTAATTTAAAATTTAAAACGCCCTTCTAAACCTATCGTACATTATTTTAGAATCTTCAAAGAATATTCAGTAATTTTTCCAAGCCAAAATAATCAATTCTGTACATATTGTAGCTGTTCAAAGTGGCTGGGGTGTGCAACACCCCATGTGTACAATTTGAAATTATTTTGAGGTGTGCACAATTAGGGTTAGTAATAATAATAATGATAAATATTAATATTAATTTCATAATATTTCCAGTTTTTCCATAATATTCATTTTATTTATTTTTATTCTTTTTCTAATAATTAAGTTAAAGTATTAATCATCATGATAAATAGCTGTTAACAATATATCGCGTAATAATGCGTAATTTCTTTTTGTTAACAAATTGGTCGCAATCTTAGACTGGTATTTATAATTAGATATGATATACGGATACGATATACAATAAGATAAATCGGATATAGGCCGGTATTCATAGTCGGATCTTATATTTAAGATCATCTTAAGTTTATCTTCAGATACTGTACAAATTACTTCATTGGCTACGAAGTATCTGAAAGTGAACTTAAGACGATTTTAAATATAAGACTCGACTATGAATACCGGCCATGGGCTCCATTCCGATATTCACTGGCAGTACTGAAGATACATATGGGGCTGTATTCCGTACTTGCGTACCGATAGTTGTCGGTGTCGTTAGCAGTATTGCGCAGCTTTTTTGTTATATGAAAAACCTGCGCAACGCCGTTAACGACACCGACAACTGTCGATATGCAGGTACGAAATACAGCCCATGGTTTGTTCTTTTTAGCTGCGGAACTAGTGCAATAAGTTAGAATGAGACAACTATATTTTTTCTCACTTTAACTTATTGCACCAGTTCAGTAGTGCAGCTAAAAAGAACAAACCAATAGGCTGCGCTCCCATATTCACTGTCAGCACTGAAAATCTATAGTATACATAACACAAACTATATATTTTCAGTACTGGCAGTGAATATTGGAACCATATTTTGTGTCACATATACTATAGTTTGTGTCACATATACTATAGATTTTCAGTGCTGACAGTGGATGCGGTCCATCAATCGCTACAAATGCTTCGAAGCGTTTTCACTTCTCTCTCTTTCTTCGTTTGTATCCGAGAAATAGAGACGCTTCACGAGAAAGAGAAACGCTTCAAAGCATTTGTAGCGGTTGCTGGACCGCACTCAATGAATATTGAAACGCAGCCACGATATACGATAAGACGGTCTTAAATATAAAGCCAGCGGTGCTTATTTTTGTATTGGACTGCTTGCTGGATGAAAATACTGCGTTCTGATTAATGCATTTCCATCCATCTTCGGAAATGTACCAATCAGAACGCAGTATTTTCATCCAGCAAGCAATCCAGCACGAAAACAAGCATCGTATGCCGCTGGCTTAAGGCTATAAGGTTGCAAGACACGAAATGAAATATTTTCATTCGCTGACAGCTTACATTACAGCCTTACAGCCTTACTCTTACAGCTATTGTAGACGAGCCTGCACACCCGTATTCATAGTCAGGCCTTATATTTAAAACTTCCTTAAGTTTATCTTCAGATGGTCTGTAGCCAATAAAATAATCCGAGCATCATCTAAAAATGGATATAAGTAAGCTTCAAATATAAAGCCTGACTATGGTTGCGTTCAGAAAACAAAGCGCTCACTGAGCGCTTAGTAACCAATAGTTATTGGTCCTTACTGTTAGATCCTTACATTCAGACCAATAACGTTGACGAATTACTCAACCGTTGTGTAACCGTTGTGTTTTCTGAACGCAGCCAATGATTGCGTTCAGAAAACAAAGCGCTCACTGAACGCTTAATAACTATTGATCCTTACTGTTAGATTCTTACATTCAGACCAATAACGTTGGCGAATTACTCAACCGTTGTGCAATCGTTGTGTTTTCTGAACGCAGCCTATGAATACGGGTATAATAGCCGTATTCATAGGCTGCGTTCCGAAATTCACTGCCAGGACTGAAAATCTATAGTATGCGTGACACAAACTATGTATTTTCAGTACTGGCAGTCGATTTCGGAACGCAGCCATAGTCAGGACTTAAGGCTCGTCTACATTAGCTGTAAGAGTTATACCTCGTCTACAATAGAAGTCATAGAGTCGTAAGTCGTACAAATTGACCAATCGCGGTCGATTATTTTTCTCTTACCGGACTATAATTGGTCAATTTCTACGACTTACGACTCTACGACTTCTATTGTAGACGAGGTATAAGGCTGTAAGGTTGCAAGACACGAAATGAAATATTTTCATTCGCTGACAGCTTACGTTACAACCTTAAGCCCTAAACACAATGCCAGGCAACGGGCAATAAGAATAAAAATAGACCAATCACAATCGACTATTACAAGAATAATCTATTGTGATTGGTCTATTTTTATTCTTATTGCCTGTTGCCTGGCATTTTGTGTTTAGGGCTTTACTCTTACAGCTATTGCTGACGAGCCTTTAGAGGCCTTCTACAATAAGCAATTAGTCATAAGCTATAAGCAAATTGACCACAATTTTTAATCACAATTATTAATCACAATTATTAATTCAAATTATTAATCACAATTGATTAATTCAAAAATAATCGACTGTGATTGGTCAATTTGGTTACAATTTATGACTAATAGCTTATTTTAGAAGACCCACTTATATTTGAGGCCTTATATTTGAGGCACTTATATCCATCTTTAGATGCTGCACGGATTATTTTATTGGCTACAGATCATCTGAAGATAAACTTAAGGAAGTCTTAAATATAAGGCCTGACTATGAATATAGGTGTAAGATTTTGCATAAGATCTATAAATACTGACCAAAGTTATCTCATTGGCTATCTGCCATCTCGAAGCAATATGTGGCCAATGAGACAGCTAACTGACTAAAGTAGCGCCCTCTGTTTACTTGCCGACGCATGCCAATCCGCTTTGTGAATGTGTCGAGACAAACATACTGAAATGATCGCTTTCAGAATACCGTTCTTCTCAAGCGCTTGTAAATATGCACAATTAAACGCGTGCTTCAAATTTTTCTCTTTTCTTTTCTCTCTGCCGAATTCTGCCAAATTCGCGTCTCGCATCTTTGCCGTTATGTCGCGCGGTCCCGTGTTCTCGCGTTGCGGCCACTGACACGAACGATCACGTCGATCAAATGTTTCGAAGATAGCCATTTTGGCGGGTGACGTGTTTGTGCGTACCCGCTCTCGTCAGCCATAACACAATCACCTACGTCGAGAGAAACAGTGAGAGAAAGAGAGAGTGAGGGAGAGACGTAGAAAGAGAGAGAGGAGAGTGTGTGTGTGTGAAGGGAGTGGGGAGAGAGATCGCGTGTTCCACGAGGACGCGTGTCGCGATTGCACTCGGTATAATTTTAATCGTTTGCACATCGCGGGAGGAGAGACGCGCGGCGGATGCGACGGCGAGGAAGCATGACCGGCGTCCGTACCGCCGGACGGTAAACATTGCATTCGCCGCGACCGCGACGTACGATTTGCCGCTGCACTAGGGGGGGCAATGCACCATGGGAACAATTTACGACAGGCGCATGCGCAAATCAGTTTACAGTTGGAGCCTGAAAGAAAATGGCGTCTGCTAAGTTTCTGGAGGAAGCTCTTAGCACTGATGTCGACGAATCTGCAGTGAACGCGATAGTAGGCTCCCTCGAGACGCAGCTGGTGACGTCGACGCCGACTGTGGCCGGACATCAGGCGAGTTCCGCGTCGGTCAGCCAGCAGAATCATCAGGTAAACAGCGCTATTTCCAACGGGGGTACAATCACCACGGTGCAGTCACAGAAGCATGGGGTTTCGAACGGCGGCGGTGCTACCACGGTGAACAGCCTGATGACTCAGGAAGTTGCCAAGTCCATCACCACCAGCACTTTGCTGCCGGTGAACGTGGTTACTTCGAACGCAGTGGCGCCACAGGTCATCACCACACAGCAGCAGCAACAGCAACAGCAGCAGCAACAGCAACCGCAGCAGCAGCAACAGCAACAGCAACAGCCGCAAGCACAGCAAACACAGCAGCAACAACACACGCAAGCATCGGGGATATCCGCGTATATCAATCAAGTAACCACGAACCAAGTGTCCAGCAATCAGACGACACATATACCGAGCCTGACGAAATCGCATGAACCAGTAAAGATCATTTATCCCGCCGTTGGCCAAGTTATCGCCACCACAGGCGTCGCGAATGCGAACAACAAGCTCACCTTTCCCGCCCAAACTGTTGGCCAGTTAGCGAACGGCACTCTGGGCATTACCTCGCCGGCGGTGTTACAGACCACGTCGAATGCCGTGTCCACTGTAGGCTCTGTCAGTCAAACGGGCAGTCAAACGGTTACCGGCGTGAACAAGCCGACGGGCACGACTCTAGTGATCAAGACCAGTGTGGCACCAGCAGGCATGGTTTCCGTTCCCATGACTGTACCAGTCTCTGGCAATGCTGTGAGCACTGCATTACAGGCCAAGGCTGGAGTTACCTCTACGATAGTACCCAGCAATGTTCAAATTCTCAATGTAAATACTATGCGGCCTGCCACACCAGTGGCAGGGCAGCAAGCCAATAAGCAAGTCACTTCTAGAGTGGTGATAGGGCAACCCATGGTTGGCACAAGATCAGGACCTCAAGGGGTAAGACTGTTTGACTTTGTATTTATAAATATAATATAACAAGATACTTTGTTTTTTCCTGTACACATGTAGATAGACATATATTGAGTATCAAAGATAATAAAGTTTATATTTATTATACATCTTTCAATATATTTCTAATTTCACTTTACACATTTATACAATAATTCAGCATACAAGTATGCTTGTAATTTTTTTAGATAATTTTATTGAAGATATAGATTTTGTTACATCTTGCGTTATCTTAGTACTACTTCTATTGTATCTATAATTTTCTTTTGATTTGATATAATTGAGAATGAGGTGGAGATATAAGAAGGTATTAGTAATAAATACTGTAATTTTCAGATAACGTTCCAGGCACTTCATGGCCTTCAACCTGGAACTCAGGGTCATCTCTTGTTAAAAACAGAGAACGGACAATTTCAGCTATTGAGGGTGGGACCAGCACCACCTCCCGGTACTCCCACTGGTACTGCGGTTACACCCAATAGTATAGCTGGAAATGCAGTAGTTGCTGCACCATCTCCAGGCACTACCTATCGCCTAGCTTCAGTGCCGGCTGTAAGTAGGCTGAATACTCAGTTCACTGGCCCACCACTCGCCACCCTAAGAAAATCTGTTCAGGTGACGCACTTTTATACCTCTTACAAGACTCGATGTAGTACTGTCATAGAAATTTTTATTAGTTTGACTTTATTTTCTATGGAATGGTGTCATATCAGTAAGGTGATGTGTTACGTTTACACTTTTGCATTTTATCCGTTTATACATTAAGATGCGGATACACTTTTGAAACGGGAATGTTCATCATTGGTCATTTCTTCATTTATTGATTGTTTGCAAATACTTAGTGCGTTTTTATTTCTGTGAGCACTACTAGTAGAAAAATTATACATTTACATAGCTTCCAAATATTAATTATGGATGCTACAGTTTTAAAAGCGATTGTCTTACACCATGATCGACATAACTTTTGTCTACTGTTTTACAAATAATTGGCGATTTATCATTACTAGCTTATTTTTTGGGATGCATTTCTTTGGTAGTATGTCTTGAGTTTTATAGAGTGCAATAATCTTACAGGTAAAATGCCTTCATCAGGTTATCGAGTTGCATGGATTTCTGGTTAAAGGTGTTTCGTAGAATATTGGCTTTGAGAGATAAATTATTTTGAGGAAATACATAGTGGAGGGTGTTTACGTTTTGTTTATTTCTTTATATTTTACCTAGGTACGTGCATTTATACTGAAAAATTTTATCTTTACTAATATATTAAAAAATTTTCACAAGTCTCTTTATATTCTGATTGCTCTATATAGAAATGATATACTAGGTTATTCTTCTACGTTAACGATATTGATATTATAATTTAGTTAAAAAAAATGTATATTGTAATTATACTTTTTCAAACATTGATATAATTTTATTAAAATTAGTTGAAATTTGTATGTAATATCTTATGAATTACTATTGTAAAACGATCAATGAATGTTGGTTATTACGTTGGATACACATTGTTCAAACTAATATTTTTATATTAGTATCTATAATTTTGCCAAATTGCAAAAGACGAGTCTGTACAAGGTACAAGTGCGTCTGTAGAATATGTTATAGTGAATAAGTCGATTATTATTGCAATCACTTGAATTCAAGACTTGTTCAAGATATTTAAGACATTCGGTCAATGTAAGTAATTGATCTAAATAATCATAATATGCAAGTAACTTAGGTAATTGTTATTATTTGCCAATATTAGCTAATAAGTAAATATTTTTCATCTGATATTTTAAGCTTTCGCGATGTAGAAAAATATTTAATTTCCAAGTTGAGGAAGGGTATCATATCCATCGTAGATTTTTCTCTGACATTTTGTGAATATAGTTCACTTCTTTAAAGAGAGAGGAACAACCTGAAAACATTGTAATTATACTTTACTTTTTCTAAAAAATCCAGTCCTTTTCCAATCATTCAAATATGCTAGTTATTCTTAAAAACACGCATATAAAAGAGAAGCCTTTCAAAGAATTATTGTTTTTAAGTTCTTTTTTTCTAAAGCTGGAACGTATATAAAAAGTTAGAAACAAATCTATGATGGATATGATACTAACCCGGAAATTAAATTAAATAAATACTTTTTAATTGGGTTATCATTTGTTTCTGTTCTTTTCAGCATGCACGTAGAAAAATTAGATTTCTGATGTAGTAATATAGAGTTTGCGAAGATTCTTTTGATTGCATGCGATAGACAAATGAATTTATCATACAGTAATTTTGTATACTTTCTCATTTGGAATATCCTTTTTTTAATCTTATATTTATGTTTGTTATATAAATATAAAATAAATATCATAATATATAATGTTGGACTTTTCAATAATTGAATTGCACTAGTTGAATATGCAACATGAGAAAGAGTAAGAAATTTGTTTTTTGTTAAATTCTACTTTGTAACTTGTTGTGTATTGAAATTTTCTTTTTAATACATATATATTCACAGGGGAAAATGTTTCTATATATAAGATTATAATCTTATATATAATTTTTTTCTTATATACATTTTCTAGAATTATAATTAAATCATTAATATAAGTTATTATTATTTATGCTTCTATATAAGCTATTAATATATTATTATTTGCAATATCATATTACTGTAAGTAATTATTGTTCTCTAAACTATAGACAGTTGCTGCTACTATTACTACATCTACTACAACCCCAACAACAGTAACCACAGCAGCTACAACTACTACTGCACAAACGGTTACCCCCGTTCAAACGGTTCAAACATCTGCATCAGTACGTTAAATACTGATAAAAAATAATATATATATATATACAAAGTCTCTATATATATATATACATATACAAGGTCTCTCATGTAATTTTTGTGCCTGCTCAGGTATAGGTAGAACTCGTCAAATTATATGAAAAAGTTTTATTATTCTGCAAACAACCATGATAATTTTTGAGATATTAATTATAGAAAATGAGTACACGCGATGTGATAGGATGAGCTTTTTAGGTGAAATCTCATTCAAGATGTTGGAATTTATTGACAATCTCTTGGCAACAGCTAACAGTGGGTAATGCTAGATTGTGAAGTCATGCATCATATATTATTATATTATTATATTTACTAGCATTATATTGTCTAACATTGCATACTGCGTCATTTCCAAGAAATTGTCAATAAATTCAGATATTTTGGATGAAATTTTGACTAAAAATTTGTCCTAATACATCATATTCTAACATTTGTTGGCTAAATTTCTTAATATTTTGGTAATTGCAGTGGTTGTTTGTAATGGGTGTGCGTGTATGTATGTATATGTACACACACACACACACACACACACACACACACACACACACACACACACACACACACACACACACACACACACACACATACACATATATAAAGGGTGTCCCAAAATTCACGCAAGAAGTAATTTTGATAGAAAACACAAGTTTATAATTAAAAATTGTAAATTTTTTATTGATTTATGAAGTATGCAGTATAGGATCATGTATGGAATAGCATATCGGATAAATGGCCTTCACGGCTTTGCTGGCACATATGCACTTTTGTTGAAATTTTCCATGACCGTTTTGCATAAATGTGGCTGAATTTTGTTGATACAGCGCTCAATTTCCTCCTTCAAGGCGTAGGTGATCGTGGGCTTGTTGGCATAAACCTTAGACTTCAAAAAACCCCAAAGAAAACAGTCCAACGGCGTTAAATCGCATGATCTGGGCGGCCAAATCTGATCACCAAAACAGGAAATTACACGACTAGGAAATGACTTATGCAGTAATTGAATTGTTTCTCGGGCTGTATGGCATGTGGCACCGTCTTGTTGAAACCACATGTCGTCCACATCCATATCTTGCAATTTAGGCACAAAAAACTGGATTATCATGTCGCGATAGCGAGCACCATTAACTGTTATTGCCTGACCAGTCGCATTTTCGAAGAAGATCCGATGGTCCGATGATGCCTCCAGCCCAAAATCCGCACCAAACAGTGACACGTTGTGGATGCATTTGTTTCTCAACAATCACTCGTGGGTTTTCTGAACCCCAAATGCGATTTTGTCGATTAACCAAGCCATCAAGATAAAAAAGAGCCTCATCGCTGAAGATGATTTTGTTCGAAAAATCAGTATCTACTTGTGGTTCCATAATCCATTCAACGAACTCTCTTCGCTGTGGCCGTTTACCCGATATGCTATTCCATACATAACTCTATACTGTATACTTTATGAATCAATAAAAAATTTACAATTTTTAATTATAAACCTTTTCTATCAAAATTACTTCTTGCGTGAATTTTGGGACACCCTTTATATATATATATATATATATGTGTGTATGTATGTACGTATATGTGTGTATATATATATATATATATATGTATATACATATATGGGATAAAAGTGTATGTGTATATATATTTATATACTTATATATTCATATATTTGTGTGTGTATGCATATAACACACATATATGAATTTTTATACAGGTTACATTAAACTCTCTAAAGTAAAATCAACAATTTTCATTCTCGTCTTCTGATATACCTCTAATATAATTACACAATTAATTATATTTTCTATTTTAGCGTCCGAATCCTGAAAATACCAAAGAAAAGTGCCGTAAATTCTTAGCGAACCTATTAGAGTTGTCTAGTCGAGAGCCTAAAGCAGTGGAACGTAATGTCCGAACTTTAATACAAGAGCTGATCGACACTAAAGTCGAACCGGAAGAGTTCTGTGACAGGCTTGAGAAATTATTGAACGCTTCGCCACAACCATGTCTCATCGGATTTTTAAAGAAGAGTCTGCCGCTTCTACGGCAATCTCTTGTTACAAAAGAATTGGTGATAGAAGGAATCAAACCTCCACCAGCCAATGTTGTCTTCTCTATAGCTTCAACCGTTCCAACAATTACGCAGGTAAGATCGCCGACCCCTCTTTTTGTTTGCTCACGGATTTTATATATCTTTCACATAAAGTGAACCAACTACGAAATTATCTCGCCTTATATTACAGCAAAATCAATTCAGACCAACGGTAGCTGTGACAACGACAGTTCCAATCACTACGACGGCGACTGCGACAACTCAAGTACGAGTAATGACACCGCTTCCAGCAGCGGCTGTGGCGGTAGCGGCAGCAGCACCAACGCCGGCACCAGCACCAACGCCAGTACCAGCACCGGCGCCAGCACAAGTAACGGTAGCAGCAGTAACAGCAGCAACGGTAGTTACAACGACTGTACCACGGCCTGCTCAACCTGTCCAACAAAGGCTGGTAAGACCCCTGTAATTTAATCTAGCTATCAATACATGTGCAATGCGCTTGGTAGTATTGTAAAACACTAGCATTATCGTTTCTGGTTGTTTCAGGTGCGACCAGTAACCACGGTGGTTCGTAGCCCTACCACAGCGTACACTGTAAAATCGACAGTGGCGGTTACCGGGATTCGTCCTACTGCTCCTGTTGTTCAAAAACCACCCATCATGACCACAGTTGTGAAAACAATCGCAACTACCACGCAAGGCAAGACAGTCAATACAACTACCACTGTTAATAAAGCCGTAGTGCCTTCTCTCGTTCAAAAACCGGCTGCAAAGGAGAAAGAGAAAAAGTCATTTTCATCAGCAGGATATACGTAAGTTCTCCCTTGTCCCTTCTATTATCTCGATGAGACAAATAGAGAAATTATAGAATGATTCAAAAAGATTTCGCACACTGTGATTACCGCAAAAATGTTATGACATAAAAATCGCACTTGTTCTATCATGTAGGGCGGACGACGATATAAATGATGTAGCGGCTATGGGTGGTGTTAATCTTGCGGAAGAATCTCAAAGAATACTCGGTTCTACAGAGTTTGTTGGTACTCAGATACGATCCTGTAAAGATGAAGTATTTTTGCACATTACTCCGTTACAGCAAAGAATTAAACAAATCAGTAAGATTTTGTTTCCCTCTTCAATATTACGTAAATCTATCTATTTTTCTTATTGCTGTAAAATAGCATATGGAGAATCCACATGAAGCTATGTGGTGCTGTTTTAGCATCCAACTACGGACTGGAGGAACCCAGTCAAGAAGTGGCAGCGTTAATCTCACACGCTGCTCAGGAGAGGTTAAAAAATTTAGTGGAAAAATTAGCGCTAATTGCGGAGCATAGGATAGATCTCATTAAGGTAAGACTTGAGGTTTTGCGTTGTATTTTGCGAATCTCTGTACTTCTATTGTCCAAGCATGCATGAAAAAACATATCGTTGATAATTAAAATTACAGGTTGATCCCAGATATGAGGTAACGCAAGACGTAAGAGCGCAACTAAAATTTCTGGAAGATCTAGATAGGGTTGAGCGTAGGCGACACGAAGAGCAAGAACGAGAATTGCTTTTGCGTGCTGCGAAGAGTCGTGCAAAAACGGAAGATCCCGAGCAAGCCAAATTGAAGGCGAAGGCCAAAGAGGTAACATGCGAGCATCTATGTTTTTCCATTCATCGAATTTATGCGTGCGAATTGCGTTTCCGATAGTAGACATATATCATTTTGAAAAAGAACGTAAAAAAAAATTTGAGAAATGGAATGATTTCTTGAAAGGTCATAATAGCGAAATCCGGATATGAAGATAATCTCCCATTATGCGAAGTTAAACATGAAGAAAATTCTTGCTGGCTAGTTAAATCAGTAAAAATGCTAATATAAAGATAAAAATTGTTCCAGATGCAACGTGCAGAGATGGAGGAACTGAGGCAAAGAGAAGCGAATCTAACAGCCTTACAAGCAATCGGCCCTCGCAAGAAGCCTAGACTCGATATAGCGGGCACGACCAATAGTTCGGGAAGCACCACCGCGAACGCATCACACAGCGGACCGAACAGGCAAATATCGATGAGACCGCGTTTTAAGAGAGTGAACATTAGAGATTTGATGTTTCTACTGGAGCAGGAAAAAGAAACGTGTAGAAGCACCATGCTATATAAGTCATACTTGAAGTGATGCCCTGTGAAGGGCAGGAACTTCAGTGACCCGCCCGATATTTGGCGTCCTTCCTGTATGGTTTTACGTGAGCTGGTCTCGACAGGACTTGATGGAACTCATCATGCGACATTATCATCTTACATTGTCGTAGTGTACAGTGTTTTATAAGTCCGGGGATTGCGATGAGAAACTCAATTTTGGTGGGGGGAGGGGGTACGGTGAAGTCGGGAGAGGAAGCGCGGACTCGGAATTCAAAATGAGAGATCGTTTTCACCGTGTCGATACTAAGCTTCCCTACTATAAATGACTGAACATTTTTTAAATGTAATATAATAATATAATAAATCGTTCTTTATTTTTCAACATGAAATCGCATTAATGAGAGCAGGAGTGAAAGATAAAGAGAAAGAGAGTGTGAGAGGGAGGGAGAGAAAGAGCGAAAGAGAGAGAAAGAGAGAGAGAGAGAGAGAGAGAGAGAGAGAGAGAGAGAGAGAGAGAGAGAGGAAGAGAGAATAGCAATATGGATGAGCATTTCTCGCGAGTAGTCTCTATAGTCTTTTGTGGTGAGGACGATGTGCATGGCCATATATAAATAAAAATTGTTATATGGTGCGTGAATGCGTTTAAGTAAGCGTGAATGCATTAGTGAATGTAAATTTGTCACTATGTATATGCTGGCTGCATTGTAATACTTGACCTATACTTTTGGACACTGTAGCGTCAGTGTAAAATAAGCGTGCAGGTTTTGTTATCATAGTAAAATCGTATTTTTGCAAACTGTAATGTAATAGTATAATAATAATAATATTAATAATATTAATAATAATAACAAAAATACCGCGAGCACACTGTCCAAAAAGTATGGAATAATTTGTACAATATCTTACACATAATTAAATAGTGATAATTTCAATGTTGGTACAACAAAATATAGCTACTCTTCACCGGAAGATGGAATTGTTATCAGTATATTATGTTGTAATCTACATTTTCAGTGTTTATAAAAGAAGAAAATTAGCTGTTACGTTTTTTATTAAAGAAAGATTTACAAAAGTAAGAATAACGGAATATTTTTTTGATTGATGTTAATTCAATTATTTATGTATTTCCTTCTCGGAATTCGCAAGTTCGCTGGGATACATCCATGTATGTGTATATTTAATATATGTATATACACATATTCTCTCTGCTCTATTTTGTCTGGAGAAAGTTGTGCTTTGCGTGATCGATTGAAACAAATTCACAGCGAGTACCTGATTTGTATGTAAAAGAAGAATAGCCGCGCAAGTGCACGTCAGTGCCTGGAAAAAAGAAAAGAAAAAAAAAGCAATGCTTGAAACATTCAGTGAATTTTTTGTCGTACGTCGATGTTTCACATACATACACATACACTCTATGCGCTTACATTTCGTTTATTTTATGTGTCGAGAGATGACATTGTATGTACAAAAAATTTGTCGATTAATCTTTGTAGATTACGTCGTAAATTATTATTATCATTATTATTATTATTATTATTATTATTACTACTATTATTATTATTATGTTATTTACAACGTAATACATTTATTCGCGTGCAATATAACTTAGCACATCTCTCTTGGCAGCTCTTTCCTTTTTCACGCATTCAATCTCGTCGCGCTGTTTCACGGCGTGTTTCGCGTGTTAATTGATTTTCCCATGCTAGATGGGATCTCCGTTGCATGCACACACACACACACACACACACACACACACACACACACACACACACACACACACACACACACACACACACACACACACACACACACACACACGTCTTCATCGAGATAACTTTGTATTTATCCTCAATTACCGATCTTTAATATGATACTTTATATTCATTTATATTTATATTCATTAAGAGAGGCAATTTTGTATATCATCATTAATTATACTAAAAGTCTCATACGTGCTTCTTCAAATACTGCCAACTAACGAAATGCTCGCTGCGAGAAAAAAGCAATGATATATTACATATACGTACATATATATATATATATATATTTATATATTCTCCTTTATTTATTATTGACACGCAGCAGTCGTCCGAGCGCGTCGACTAGATTGTTCCGCACGATTTTTCGTTATCTCTTCGCTCGACACACGTTTTCGCGAAGATTGTACGCCGAATTATTGCGTCGGTCGCTTTCGTTTTTCCAGCAAGTTTTGTGCTTCCGCTTGTTTACGAGGTGGATTGGCAAGCAAGAGAATGTTGGCTAATGAGAAGGGGGCAGTATAATAAAGATAAGGTACTTCCATGATAGCGTATTCGGATAGCTACGTCGGATGTCACCGATGAGAAGCGCGGCGATGCGCGTGTCGGCTTTTTGTTTCGTTTCAACGAGACGAGAGTTCTATTTGGAAAGCAAAAAAAAACGGCAAAAAAGAAAAACTGAAGATGAATACAGTTATGCATAGCCTTACCGTTCCTCAGATCGATACTCACGCGATTTTCAGCCTTATACATGTGCGCATAAAGTCGAAAGTCGCAACGAGTAACTCCTGCCTTCGATGATGGTGCGTACGCAGGAAGAAACTAGAGGTGTTCTCGCGCAACTTCTTGAACCGTCGCGCCGGTAACTTGAATCACACCGCGCGGGAATGGTACTTTTTGCGTTGGCGCTTAACATCGGACTTAACTGACTGCCGACGGTCAACGAGATCTGCCGTTATCTCCACCGGAGCGGTCGAAGAGTTTTCGAAGAAAAATCAGTTACGCGAGGCCAAGAGTGCCCATCTTATCGCCGTGTAAAAATTCGAGTAATTTTCACAAGAGATGGCGAGTCGATCGTTTTTCGGCGCTTGCTAGCTCTGATGTTAATTTCTGATAGTTTCAATGTTAATTTCGCGCAATGGACACGTGTGCGTCGTCCATTTAATTCGACCAGACAACGGAAACTCTCGGCTCTTGGTGGAGCACGGAATGATCCGGGCAGACGCGACTCGTCGACAAATCGAGAAAAAAGACGGGAAGACGATCAACACGTTCCGCGCTGAACCTTGCCCGTTCGGGCCGTTCGATATTTCGGCTTTAGAGAACGAAACAATCATGAAGGTTGCACGATCAGTTTCTGGAGACTCTTGCGAAGAAACTCCGCCAACTCCGCAGTCAGGCTCAACTTTATCTTCTCCGTTTTTTTCTTCCTCCGATGACCTGCTGTTGAACAAGCAGTCGAGATAGATTACCGAGCCAATTCGCACCCAATTGTAAGAACATCAATTTGGAGTTTCTGCGAAGATTCCTGCGAACTCATCGAGCAATCTAATACTTCGACAATTAGTGCGAAACACGCGGCATTCGACGAATCAAATTCGCCTTACAGCACGTGTTACGCCGTTGGGCCACACGTGACTTCTTGCTCGACGAGTCGTGTGAAATTGAAGTTCGCGGCGCGGAACGACTTCTTCGTAATTTCGATCTCTCTCTCTCTCTCTCTCTCTCTCTCTCTCTCTCTCTCTCTCTCTCATTGTGACAGTGGCGGTAGCGATTGCGATCAATTGATCTTCGTGCGAAGATATCGGCTGGAAGGAGCCGGGAAAGATCGAGGGCGGAAGATTCGTCGAGAATCTCCGGCATTCGTGCAAATGCTGTGATTTGCCCGTCGTCGACCAACGTGTCCGATTGTGCATCTCGTTTTGTAAATAATAAGTTTTCGTGCCGGGGCGATCGCTCGTATTCTGTAACGACGCCTCCCGCAGCACGTCGTCGCGGCGCGCTAGACAAATGTAGACTTAGCTGTATATATTCTATACGTTCCTCGTCACAATGATCAAGCGTCCGTTACTTTTTTCTCTCTCTCTCTCTCTCTCTCTTTCTCTCTCTTTCTCTCTTCCTTCCTTTTCTTTTTCTCTCCCACGAGCACGCGACCCGGGGCAAAGAAGAAGCGTGAACTCTCGCGCAGAAGGAAAAAGAAAAACAAATGTGTCATGAACGTTCTCTTCTTCTAATTGCCAGTAGATGGAATGCATTAGCGTATCTGTATGAAATACATGAAATAGGGAAGCATATAATTTACACAATATAATGAGAGAAGCGACGGTACGCGTTACGGTTTTGGTACGTTATAATATTTTTATAAATTGTACTGGATAAGTAGAGCAAGCGTATGAGATAATAAAAAGAAAAGGAAAAAAGAGCACAATCTCTCTCTCTCTCTCTCTCTCTCTTTCTCTCTCTCTCTCTCTCTCTGTTTCAAGGCGAAATCCACAGTGCATCCTCCGTCCCCTAATTACATCATGTCTAAATCTCGGTTTGCTCGTCCGTGATTACGACTGACCGTCTTAGATTTCACCCTTCCTTTTGCGTTTCGTTTTTCCGTGTTTCTTCGTGATGACGCGACGTCGGGCGGTTCGGCTGCTGTTGCCATTAGCATTTTCGAGGTAATTGCGAATTGCGTTCATTCGTCGAGCAGTGTTTGATCTGCGATGATCTGCGTCGGTTCCTTCGTTGTTCAAGTGGCTGAAAAATTCGGAGTGTTCCGCGTAACTTCAATCGCGAGCAAATAGTCTTCCCACACACACACACACACACACACACACACACACACACAGTGTCCGTGTATGAAAGAGATAGGAAAATATAAAAGAATTAATTTCTTCAAGATTTAATACACGAATCAGGATCCAGACACGCTCAGATATGTCTCAGGTATTTGTTTATTAATTCAAACATCGTTAACAAAAATACAACGATCGTTGCTGTAAAGAAACCACGGGATTTCATCTCAAGGGAAGCAGAAATTTCGTTATATGATTGAAAGATGCCACATCCTTGCCACTTTAAAATTAAATCAGTTTCCTCTGACTCGAATAAATCCGCTCCTGAGGAAGTTACAGAAATGATTAAAAAAGCAAAAAGAAAAAAAAAATTAGAGCAGTCCTTAGAATTGTTAAAAACTGTTAGAATAAAAGATATCGGACATGACAATGAAGATAATTCATCATCCGAGATCGAGACAGAACGAAAGGAGAAACCGCGGGGCGCGATTTTATCACCCCTGTGGTAAAAGCTACAGTCGAAGGGGGCATAAAGATGAATCGACGAGGGACCCTGTCGTTTGCGCTCGTGACCTGCCCTAATCAACCCACGGGTTTCTGAATCATTGTATCTCTGACTTTTTCTTCTTAAATGATCGCAGGGACAAGGTTCATGCTCTCGAGTTGCACGGCCGAGCGTATCCGTTGATCCAGGCACCTGCGACGAAAGATTCACGTTGTCGTCGCGCGGCGACCACCGTTTCCTCGTCGTTCCCCGAGGAGAATGCGAGGGAGAGACAAAGGGAAGCGCGCGAACAGCAGAGGGAACGGGCAGGAGGAGGAGATATCGCGAGTACACTTCCCGGCCTCGATTTTCCGGACGGACAATGACTCGGCGGGATTTTGTCCGAGGATATCCTCGAATTTCAAGCCTGTCTTCCGTATAGCCGCGGGCCATTCCGCCTCGTGTCGTGTATCGAAGGACTCGGCATCAAGGTGGCCAGGGCGATCCAGAAATGGAATATAATCAGTTCGTCGAGAGGAGGGGGAGAGAGAGAGAGAGAGAGAGAGAGAGAGAGAGAGACAGATAGATAGAGCGAGAGCGAAAGGGGACAAGAGGCGTTGGATGGAAAAGGTGAGAGGCGACAAGGGAGAAGGATAGAGAGTGAGCGAGAGAAACGAGAGAGAGAGAGAGAGAGAGAGAGAGAGAGAGAGAGAGAGAGAGAGAGAGACCGAATAAACGGAAGAGCAAGAGAGAGAGAGAGAGAGAGAGAGAGAGAGAAGCCGCTTCGCCGGGTGGATTCGAGGGATGACAGCCGCGGGCTGGTGAGAGCCTCGGGCGACGCGGATATTGAGTTCATGGTAGCCATGGAAACGGGGCCCGGGGGCACGACGTTTGTGCGCTTTATCCCTTATTCCCGCGGTTACATGATCAACGCGGTCCCAATGAGCTCTCTTACCTCGCCTCTCTCGCTTGCGAGCGTTTCGTCCTTGCGCGCGCGCGCGCGCGTAAGCGCGTGTATGTGTGTGTGTGTGTGTGTGTGTGTGTGCGCGCGTGTAGCCGTCGGCAACGGTAGATCGGCCGCGACGAATTTTTCGTTCGAACCTCGCCCGCGAGGATTGATCTCCGCTATGATGTGTCATTTTTATTTTCCATTTGTTGATCTGGTTATCCATTCTTTCGACGGGGGCCGACGGATAATTCGGGGATAAAGCGGCATACTCTTGCCGGTTAGAGCGTACGCATACATGCGTACGCGCACGCACACACACGCGCATGTCCGTCGTACCGAGAGGTATAATGATTTTAGCGCGGCGCGGCGGCGAGATTTTTTCGCTCGGGGCACGACGCCGCGTCCATAGCAATTGAAAAATTGATTGCAGACGACAATAATTCCGCCGCCCGCGCGACGAAAAGCGCGGACGGCGGTGCTATTGTCCGCCTTCTGGAGAGAAACTCGCACCGCTTCGCCGTGATCTGCCTCCTGGACCTCGGAGAGTGAGCTGTGATTACGGTGCGATTAAATAATTCCCGAGATGACATATCGCGTGAGAATAATGTCGCGGACTTTCGCGGAAAATCAGGAACAGCGGCGCGAGCAAGATCGCCGCGCGTGCGCGCGATGTCAATGAGATTTGCCACACACACACACACATATATATATTCTCTCTTTCTTTCCCGAGGTAAAATAAACATTTTATTAAATCAGCTGAAGTGCGATTCTTATAAGAAGAGATATCTTAGCAATTATAGGCTCGCTTCTTAGTTCTTAATAATCGAGATACCGTTTTAAAGGTACGCGTTTCAGTTTAGTTTGAGTGCTTGTCTTGAGGGGATTCAAAAAAATCGCTCCTCCCTCCGTTCGTCTCCGTGCTGGGTTACATCGATTAACCGATAGCTCGGTGAAAATTTGTTGTTGAGATTCTTTTCTTATAGGACCAACACACGCGCTGTTTCGTTGCCGGTTTCTTGCTACATTACGACGTGATATGATTTTTAAGTACAATATATATACAGGATGATCCATTTTTGCAATATTTACTTAAAGTATTTCGGAGAAAATACAGTTTACTCGAAAAAAAACTTCAAACTAGATTCTTGTTTAAAATATATTTTTCGAATAACGCATTTCTTCTGAGATATTTTAGATGGGCATTTAAAATATAGGTCACCCTGTATAAACGTATGTCTATTTATATATACGCGAGTCTGTGTCTGTGTGTATGTATATACACGTTTATTCGCGGTATTTACAGTAATTAGTATGGCATTTAAATACATATAGGTACACTTTATTAAATAATAACAATGTTAAAGATCAGCGCACTCGATAGTCTCAAACGCAAGTCGCTCGTAACGCGAGAAATGGACAACGATGTGTATGTATGAATGTGTGTGCGTGCGTGCGTGCGTGCGTGCGTGCGTGTGTGTGTGTGTGTGTGTGTGTGTGTGTGTGTACGTATGTATGTATGCATATATGTGTGTGTTTATACGTGGAGCTGGGAATTCCATTCCGGACAGCGTTAAAATGGTGCAGAAGTCGGGTGTGTGAGAGAGACGGAAGCGTTTATTCGTTCCTTATGCTGTGTTATGGCTATGATTTTCGCTCCGGTGATACGTGCATTTTTACAATGAACGAGGGGAGAACACGAAATTGCAGTGTGTATATGATTAATATTACGGTTTAGGCTTCGTCGAGATGAGAGAGTCACGCGATACATCGTTGCCATCGTCGGGCTCGCGCTGTGTACGAAGTTCGGTCTTTTCGTTCAGATGTGACTTAACGCGATCGTCGTGAACGACGAGAGCCGTGCACGCTGATGAGTCGAGAGAGTGATGCTCGTCTTAAAATTGCGTATCTAATTTGGAGATACATTCGCAGCAATTCGCGCACAATCGGTCGCCGTGGCGACCGACGATGTTTTGTTTCAAGCCGTCGTAACGCTACGCAGTCGTCGCAAGTGCCGCTCGACGGCGCTTCAGCAACTTCTCGTTCTCGGAAGTGCCGCGATTTATCGTTAATTACATAATAAAGTCAATTACGTCATAAAGCTCAGCCTAACTAGTATCACGTTAATCGTAATGTTCTCCGACGAGCAATGCTGTCGTCGTTCCGAATTATTTCCCTTCTTCTTCTGTCAGATTTTTTTTCTAATTTATCTCTTCTCTCTTTTATATGTTATCCTCTAAATCTCTTGCAACGAAATCTCGCTCAAAACGAAAGAAAATTTATCTGAAGTGACAGCGAAAATACCGTCACTCGGAATACATATTTTTTTACTTTTTAAATATTTTTCTCTCAATGTACGGCTGGAACACACCGGAATGACGCTTCAGCCTCAAATGAACATGTTCACTCGACGGCTCAGAGTGGTGGCCTGTTCAGCCTGTATGAACAGAAAGTCAGCCGAATTCAAGCGACTTGCCCTCTTCGAGCGGAGAATCTCGTTGGAAGAAATTCAAAGAGAATTTAATCATCACCCCTCTACGACACTTCAGCCTCCATCGTTTCCCGGCCTCGGCGCGACAGTTGCGGATTCTTCTGGTCAGCCTTGTATCCTCATAACATCGAGACGCTCTTCGCGTTTCGGCGTGTGATCCGAACGACCGTGATGAATGTTCCGCGATGCAGTCTTGAGTGGGAGAATCTCCCAGGAGTGTGCAGTTGAAGAACTCACTCCAGCTCATGGTCGCGCTGCAGGCAGCGCACCATCGACCTGGAGATCGTTTTGCGCTGGTGGTGGAGGTGGTGGTGGTGGTGATGATGGTGCGTGGTGCTCCGTCAGGTGTTGACGGCTTGCCTGACGAACAGGTACTCCGAGAACTGCTGGCCCTCGACGCCACCCCCGTTGCTCGCGACCACCCGGAAGCCGGCGTTCAGCAGCCTGGTGATCGCCTGCACCGAGTTCAGCTTGCAGTAGCCGTTGAGCGGGAACCGGATGACGTGGCGAGCATCTTGTTGGTGCCAGGCGACGCCGGAGCGCGCGTCGATCACCGCTTGCGTCGTCTCCGGGAACACCTCATCCAGCAGCGCCCGCCCGCCCGACAGCATCACCCGTTCGCCCAGGTCCGGGCTCACGTGCAACGCCACGCACTCGTAGCTGCAGTTGCCGTCGTTGCCGCGTATCTTGTCCGGGTCGCGGTTGCAGGGCGCGGTGGTGCAAGCGGTGGTGCCGCGGCCGACGTGTTGGCCGGCGGGAGGTGGACTCGGCGACGACGACGACATCGTCGTGGTTGAGCCGTTCTTAATGCGCTCCTTCTTCATCTGCTCCAGCTGCCGGCACATCGCTGGAAGAAGAAAGAAAAGGAACGAAGGAATGAATGCAATGCGGGTTCCTTCAGGTGAAAAAAAAACGTCGAAATATGAAGAACGAAAAATGGGACGATTTTTCGGAATATAATTTTCTCAAAATATTGCAAGGGAAAATTAGATATCGAAAGCGGTGCTGGCACAACGTGCCGAGAGAAATGGTAATAAAGTATTGAGAATTAACGTAGACCGGACTCGAACTGGGTTCCGAAATTTAAAAAGTAGGATAATTTTTTTCGAAAAGCTCTCGAGTTTCCAATTTTGGAAACACTTTTCGGAACGATGCATGTCCATCGAAAGTAATTATTACCGCTGCCGTTGTCGTCCCAGGAGGACTTTTGGTGTATTTTGTCGTTGTATTTATTTAAACATTATAACTTTTAGATGTACAATTTTAGAGATGTACAATTGTTTGCTTTCATATTTCCAGGAAAATTATATCTCAGGAGATTATACTATATTTCAGGAAATTATCCCACTTTTCCAATTATGACGATTTGATTTCTCTGGACAATGCATGCCCGCCATTTCACGAGGCTTCACCTCGTTGTAGGCGAGAAACGAGAAGAGTCGTTTCTTCTGTTGTTTCTTCTTTTGTTTGGTGAATAGCTACTTCGCAGCTACTCGCTCTTGCGCACTTATCTTACTATTACAGCCGATAGCTGGAAGTCGGTCGAGAGTAAATGAGCAGCGAGATGATATATCGCGTGCAATTTATCGACACTCCCTTTCTCTCTCTCTCTCTCTCTCTCTCTCTTTCTCTCTTTCCTCCCTCCTCCCTCTCTCCTTCTCTCTTTCTTTTTCTCTCTCTCTCTGTCCTGGTGATCTCTCGTCAACCGCAGAGACCGCCGGCGCTCGATGAGGTTCCGCGATGATGGAGAGCCGAGATTTTTTCACGACACGCCTCGGCACGGATCGAAATCGTAACGTAATTCAAGGCGGAACGCGCCACTCGATCGAACGGATCGAAACTATTTCAAATTGGCATCAATTGCGATTCGTACCGCGAAGTCGCTCCTTTCGCAAAACTCTCGGCGAATTTGAAATTAAACACGGAGCGGAAAAAATACGGCTGCAACTTACGCGCTATGTCGAAGTACCGCGCCTCCTCCAGCAGCAGATCCAAGTCGGCGAAGTTGTCGGGTATCAGCAGCCGGGAATTTCGCATAAAGTTCAATATGTGCCGAAACATACCGCCGTCTCGGTCGATGAAGTAATGTTGTTTCAGCGAATCCAAAACGATAGGGATGCTGCCGTTGAACAATTTCGCTAGTCTGGATTCCGGATACCTGGTGGAAAAAAAGCGCGCGGAGCGCGTACTGTAGAATTACCATGCGTTAAAATAGTCGAAACTAGTTTCTACAATCCATCGGAGGGCGCGATTATTCCATGAACATTTTCACTGAAATTACGATCCATTTATTTCCCAGAGGTCTGAAATCATTTTTTATTCTTATCACATAGATACAATGGAAATTAAATGCTAATGGTATATAACAAGCAAAAAAGAACGTATATATTAGTTGAACGATTATACTGAATAAAACAGAAAAGTCCGATAAATAGGACAGCGACTGCTAATAGGTCAATGTAAAAATTCGCGAGCATTAATCAGCGTCGTGTAGAAACGCGCGCGTGATTATGCTCGATCATGAGTGAAGGAGAAAAAAGCCCGAGAGAAAAAACGTTGTCGCGCGTGATTTACGCGCGGGTCAGGTCGCGGGGGCCTCCGCGGGTCTGACTAATGTTCGGCATCATTTACACGAAGAGACGAAGCGCGCGCGGAATTGATCGACACGCGGTAGCATCGAAGGTAGCTTCGATGCGCCCCGGTGCCGCATTGTGGGAGATTGCGCATCGGACGTTCAACGTAACGACATGGAAATCGCGCTTTCTATCGCAGCCTTAACCGAGTGTGGGCAGGTGGGCTGATATCTTGGTCACCTGCCGAAATCGCTTCGGGTAGCCGCGTTGTTTCTCGGCGCGGCGCAGCGAGGGAGCAGCTGTTCTACAGACGGAATTCTGACAATGAGGGGCCAGCCGTGTCGGCTTGAATTCGATTAGGTACTGTGTCGATTAGCGTTGCTCACGCAGCAATCACTGATTAGTCAACTTCAACTAGCCGGTTAAGCGTTCGTGTACTCGAGTCTTCCGGTGTCAGTCGGATACACAAGCGCAACCGAGTGTATTAATATATAATTTCGAACACCCAAATAATTAATAACAACAAATGCATTGCAGACCAATTATTTACTTGTTACTAAAATAGATGCTCCAATTAGTGGCCAAATAATCTCATCGTGAAAATAAATTAATAAATGAACACACAATATATACGTGTTAAGCAAACTACGCACAGTTGATTTTGTTGGGGGCTTAAATATTTGTGAGGGGAGGGGAGGTTTGGTGATGTTGTATCTTTCATATATTTATGTATACATGTGGGAAAGATTTGAATTTATTTATAATACTTTCTTACGACACAACTGAAGCGCCATTTAGTGGTGTGATAGTGTAGTTCAGTTTCGTCATTTAGTTTTGAAGAAACTGAAGTATAACTGCACATGATTAATACATAGATGTCTGATATTAATTATCAGCTTCTAAGATGTCGGTGAAGAATTGCTCGAGCTTTGTCGATGTCAGCAACGCGCTTAATTATGATGTTTCATCATAAAAAATTATATTATATTATTATTATATTTTTACAAAGTCATAATCAATACATTTATGGTGAAAATGCATGTTTATGATGAATATGATGCAGAGTATTGAGAAAGTTGATTTATCGAGGAAAACGGACGAAAACGGGATCGCAACCTAAAACGTTGTCACTAATTGGGAGACATTCGTCTTATTTTCTGCTTATCAGGGCCTAATATCCCGGTATCCACGTAAAGGAATAGAGGGATTATATTGACAATACTATTAGCGATATCACTCAGCCCTCCAGACTCGGAGAACGGATTTTCCGCGATGTTCCCTCAGCTCGTTGTCCGAGTCGCTCCAAGGGCGACTCGTGGGCGTGCTGAGAAAGGGATCCGTGGGAGATTGTCCGACGCGTTAACGACGCGGGAGATATCCGCTCGCGACTTCGCGAGCGGATCGCGCGCTCAGAATCGAGCTCGCGGCTCGATCGGCTTCGTGCGCGCGTTTGCCCGCGTGTGCTCCCGGACGTGCCGAGAGCGGTGTCGTGTTCTGCGTGTGCAGCCGAAGGTCGTCGTAATTTAGCATATAATAGACGAATGCTCTGGGAAAAGGAGACGGGGTGAAAGAAGCGCTGAGGAAGAGGAGGCAGGGGAGGGAGGAGGAGAGGACGCAATAGGGGAAAGGACGGATAGAAGATGCGGATGACTCCGAAGACTGTGGAACGACGTGGAACGACGAGAGCGAGAGCGAGAACGAGATCGAGAGAGAGAGAGAGAGAGAGAGAGAGAGAGAGAGAGAGAGAGAGAGAGCCGACTCTCCTCTCCGTGTATCCCGACGGTGCGTTATGGCACAACGAGGGGGAAATACCGAGGTAGGTACCCGGTGCCCCTCGGGCCGGTTCCCATACCTTCCATGGCGATAACATATAATAACGACGGCCTCATGGAGCCTGTGGGCGATCTGACTTTAGCGAGGAAGAGAGAAGAGAAGACACCGCAGGGTACATATGAAGGTGTACACACACACACACACACACACACACACACACATATATATGCATGTATAGACACACAGAGAGAAAGAGAGAAAGAAAGAGAGTGGGTGAAGCTCTCTTTTTCTCTCTGTTTTCCTTCCTCTTTTTCATCTTTCGTCGACCTCTCTCTCTTCCCTCCCTCTCTCTCTCTCTCTCTCTCTCTCTCTCTCTCTCTCTTTCTCCCGCACTTGCCCGACCGCTCGTTTATCCTCCCTCTTTCGGAGACTCGCTTTCTCCTTCCGTCTATCGACTTGCCACTGATGTACCCGGGTTCTAAAGGGATGACGAGAGGGTCGCGACGCAGTCGGGAACGGGGAAGTGGAAATCGCCAGATTTTGCCCGCGAGTTTCAAGCGCGAAATTCTCTACGCGATTGCGAGTGAATTTCTACGGGATGTCCAGCGTGAGTTGCATCGCGAGTACGAGAACTCGCTTGTTTTCTCTCTCTCTTTCTCTCTCTCTCTCTCTCTCTCTCTCTCTCTTCTTTCTTACGGTCGCCGCCGCGGGTATGTTAAAATTCACACTGTAATTTCGATCACCGCGCGCGGACGCGAAAATGGTATACTTTCTATTTAAATTAATAACGCGTCGTGTTTCCTTTTTAGCGAAGAATGCACAGCCGGCGAATTAATTGCACGCGTTGCGGTCCTCTGCAGTCACGACTACCGAACTTTCTTCATATACGATATGTGGTCACACGAGCTCCTCGACGAGACTCTTCGAGACACGTGAAAGTCGATTAAAAAATCCGACTCGCCTCCGCGCAGGAGATCGCAGGATCCCCTACATTCCAAATTGCAAATTTTCTCAAGTCTCTTCCACTCAGTTCCACGAGGGAAACAGCAGCGCAGCCAGCGCGAGATCCTGCAAGTGGAAACGGCGGAAGGAGGACACAGCGGCAGGAGCACGCGACTCGCGCGCGTAACGTTGCAGGAATACGGAAAATAAAAGAGAAAGCGCGAAAGTGAGATCCGCGGCGGAGAAGCGAGGAGGAGGTGGAGGAGGTGGAGGAGGGACGCGCGCGCGCGCGGCCGCCTCGCAGGCCAAGGGCCAGCGATGTTTGCGGAGGTCGAGGCGAGCCGAGAAGGGTGATAGCGGGGGAGGAAACGGTACCAGAGGCGGAGGACGAGCACCGTGATTACCGGCGGCGATTTCTTGGGCCCACCGACCAACCGAGAGGTCCGATCCCGGGTCAGATCCGCTCGCTATGGGAAAACGCTAAACGTTCGGCTCACATCACTCAGATTCTGCTCTGCTTTCGATGTACACAGGATGCGTCCGGCGTCGCATGATCGCGAGATTAATTCTCCGGCCAAGTTTAATTAATAAGCCAGATACATTTAACAGGGGCGAAACTAGGACATTTTCTCTTGGTAGAAGCGTTGATTCATTTTGTTGATAACGGACTTTTTTTCCGCAGATCGAAGGAAAATGGAAGAGTTGGTCTTGGTTGGGACTGCGTTTGCTGAAATTAAATATCGACATCGGTATTCGCACTTTCAGCAGGCAGGAGCAATGACGACTCATGTAATTGCTAATTGCCGGAAAACTCGCATTGTCTATGGAACGATCCAATATACTAACGGGCCTTGACGAAATTTTGATACAGCGTGAAAATGTGTACTATGTGCAGCGATGATTAAGAGAAATCTGTAGTATAAACAAATTACGGAATAATCTATATTTCGTTTTTCTGTTCATTCTCGTCCTCGTACCTATGTTCTTAATTATCTTCATTTATAACAAGTACTTTTTCTTTCCTTCCCGACGAAAGTTGCTCTTGTGGATTCCATTGAGAAAATCACGGTTGGACATTATTCGATGAAAAAATTTCTTAGTTGACGAGAATAATCGACCATCATTAATCGAAATTAATCAATTGCCATACGTGTTATTAAAATAATTCAATTGATTGATGAGCTTAATTATTAAACAGTGTATAATCAATCAAATTGTATTTGATTGAAGTAATCGGCTGAGATAATGATTGAATAACGTTATATGTTGCGTTATATGTGGTCACGATTTATTGGGTATTAATTTTGGTCATTTTGGTCGGACGAGATTTCAATCGATCAATGCCCCACACTGGGGAAAATGATTTCTCGCGTACGCTCGCCGGCCGACGCATATCGCGGACGTACATGCAAGCTCGAGAACGAGACTCGTCCGCCAAGACATTCCGTTAGATCCCGCTAAATTGCACGTGTCGGTCTAGAGGGCGAGGAAATGACGACTTGGCGGTTCACCATGGGATACCCTCGAGGGCCCTGCGCGGCCTCCTCGACCGGCAGGATGATCGACGATGTTTTAGGGATTATGTGATACCGGAAGCGTGGACTAATGGTCGGCCATTACGTCATTTCTGTAAACGCTCGGCAGAAAACGCCGATACAGAACGATTAATCTTCCCGGGAGACGGCGGAATCTCGTGACAATCGCGCTTGTTCGCTTGCTCGATCGATCGGCCATCAATGATATTCGCGAAGTGGAAATGATTGCATAGAAAACGACGATACTATGTGAAAACAGACATCGATCCGCAGCCTTGTTACAATACACCGCAAATCAGTTACATTTAGTTACATTTCCGGGCAAAGATAAGGGA